TTTGGAGATTAATCCTTTGTCAGTTGCTTCATTTGCAAATATTATCTCCCATTCTGAGGGTTGTCTTTTTGTCTTATTTATGGTTTCCTTTGCTGTGCAAAAGCTTTTAAGTTTCATTAGGTCCCATTTGTTTATTTTTGTTTTTATTTCCATTTCTCTAGGAGGTGGGTCCAAAAGGATCTTGCACTGACGTATGCCATAGTGTTCTGCCTATGTTTTCCTCTAAGAGTTTGATAGTGTCTGGCTTTACATTTAGGTCTTTAATGCATTTTGAGTTTATTTTTGTGTATGGTGTTAGGGAATGTTCTAATTTCTTTCTTTTACATGTAGCTGTCCAGTTTTCCCAGCACCACTTACTGAAGAGTCAGTCTTTTCTGCATTATATATTCTTGGCTCCTTTATCAAAAATAAGGTGACCATATGTGCATGGGTTTATCTCTGGGCTTTCTATCCTGTTCCATTGATCTATATTTCTATTTCTGTGCCAGTACCATACTGTCTTGATTACTGTAGCTTTGTAGTATAGTCTGAAGTCAGGAAGTCTGATTCCTCCAGCTCCATTTCTTTCCCTCAAGACTGCTTTGGTTATATGGGGTCTTTTGTGTCCCCATACAAATTTTAAGATTTTTTTGTTCTAGTTCTGTAAAAAATGCCACTCGTAATTTGATAGGGATTGCATTGAATCTGTAGATTGTTTTGGGTAGTATAGCCATTTTCACAATGTTGATTCTTCCAATCCAAGGCAATGGTATATCTTAACACCTGTTTGTATCATCTTTAATTTCTTTCTTCAGTGTCTTACAATTTTCTGCATACAGGTCTTTTGTCTCCTTAGGTAGGTTTATTCCTAGGTATTTTATTCTTTTTGTTGCAGAGGTAAATGAGAGTGTTTCCTTAATTTCACTTTCAGATTTTTCATCATTAGTGTATAGGAATGCAAGAGATTTCTGTGCGTTAGTTTTGTATCCTGCTGCTTTACCAAATTCATTGATTAGCTCTAGTAGTTTTCTAGTAGGATCTTTAGGATTCTCTATGTATAGTACCATGTCATCCGCAAACAGTGACAGCTTTACTTCTTCTTTTCCAATTTGGATTCCTTTTACTTCTTTTTCTTCTCTGATTGCTGTGACTAAAACTTTCAAAACTATGTTGAATAATAGTGGTGAGAGTGGGTAACCTTGTCTTTTCCCTGATCTTAGAGGAAATGGTTTCAGTTTTTCACCACTGAGAACAATGTTGGCTGTGGGTTTGTCATATATGGCCTTTATTATGTTGAGGTAAATTCCTGCTATGCCTACTTTCTGGAGGGATTTTTTTTTATCATAAATGGGTGTTGAATTTTGTCAAAAGCTTTTTCTGCATCTATTGAGATTATCATATGTTTTTTATCCTTCAGTTCGTTAATATGCTTTATCACATTGATTGATTTGCGTATATTGACGAATCATTGCATTCCTGGGATAAAACCCACTTGATCATAGTGTATGATCCTTTTAATGTGCTGTTGGATTCTGTTTGCTAGTATTTTGTTGAGGATTTTTGCATCTATGTTCATCAGTGATATTGGCCTGTAGTTTTCTTTATTGGTGACATCTTTGTCTGGTTTTGGTATCAGGGTGATGATGGTCTTGTAGAATGAGTTTGGGAGTGTTCCTGCCTCTGCTATATTTTGGAAGAGTTTGAGAATAATAGGTGTTAGCTCTTCTCTAAATGTTTGATAGAATTCGCCTGTAAAGCCATCTGGTCCTGGGCTTTTGTTTGTTGGAAGATTTTTAATCACAGTCTCAATTTCAGTGCTTGTGATTTTCTATTGCTTCCTTGTTCAGCCTCGGAAGGTTGTGCTTTTCTAAGGCTTTGTCCATTTCTTCCAGGTTGTCCATTTTATTGGTGTATAGTTGCTTGTAGTAATCTCTCATGATCCTTTGTATTTGTGCAGTGTCACTTGTTACTGCTCCTTTTTCATTTCTAATTCTATTTATCTGAGTCGTCTCCCTTTTTTTCTTGATGAGTCTGGCTAATGGTTTATCAATTTTGTTTATCTTCTCAAGGAACCAGCTTTTAGTTTTATTGGTGTTTGCTATTGTTTTCTTCATTTATTTTTCATTTATTTCTGATCTGATCTTTATAATTTCTTTCCTTCTGCTAACTTTGGGGGTTTTTTGTTCTTCTTTCTCTAATTGCTTTGAGTGTAAGGTTAGGATTTTTAGTTGAGATGTTTCTTGAAGTAGGATTGTATTGCTCTAAACTTCCCTCTTAGAACAGCTTCTGCTCCATCCCATAGGTTTTGGGTCATCGTGTTCTCATTGTCATTTGTTTCTAGGTATTTTTTGATTTCCTCCTTGATTTCTTCAGTGATCTCTTGGTTATTTAGTAGTATATTGTTTAGTCTCCATGTGTTTGTATTTTTTGCAGATTTTTTTCCTGTAACTGATATCCAGTCTCATAGCGTTGTTGTTGGAGAAGATACTTGATACAATTTCAGCTTTCTTAAATTTACCAAGGCTTGATTTGTGACCCAAGATATGCTCTATCCTGGAGAATGTTCCATGAGCACTTGAGAAGAAAGTGTTTTCTGTTGTTTTTGGATGGAATGTCCTATAAATATCAATTAAATCCATCTTGTTTTCATGTATCATTTAAAGCTTGTGTTTCCTTATTTATTTTCATTTTTGATGATCTGTCCATTGGTGAAAGTGGGGTGTTAAAGTCCCCTACTATGTTTGTGTTACTGTTGATTTCCCCTTTTATGGCTGTTAGCATTTGCCTTATGTATTGAGGTGCTCCTTTGTTGGGTGCATAAATATTTACAATTGTTATATCTTCTTCTTGGACTGATCCCTCGACCATTATGTAGTGTCCTTCTTTGTCTCTTGTAATAGTCTTTATTTTAAAGTCTATTTTGTCTGATATGAGAATTGCTACTCCAGCCTTCTTTTGATTTCCATTTGCATGGAATATCTTTTTCCATCCCCTCGCTTTCAGCCTGTATGTGTCCCTAGGCCTGAAGTGGGTCTCTTGTAGACAGTATATATATGGGTCTTGTTTTTGTATCCATTCAGCCAGTCTGTGTCTTTTGGTTGGAGCATTTAATCCATTTACATTTAAGGTAGTTATCGATATGCATGTTCCTATTACCATTTTCTTAATTTTGGGGGGCTTGTCATTGAAGGTCTTTTCCTTCTCTTGTGTTTCCTGCCTAGAGAAGTTCCTTTAGCATTTGTTGTAAAGCTGGTTTGGTGGTGCTGAATTCTCTTAGCTTTTGCTTGTCTGTAAAGGTTTTAATGTCTCTGTCGAATCTGAATGAGATCCTTGCTGGGTAGAGTAATCTTGGTTGTAGGTTCTGCCTTTTCATCACTTTAACTATGTCCTGTGACTCCCTTCTGGCTTGCAGAGTTTCTGCTGAAAGATCAGCTGTTAACCTTATGGGGATTCCCTTGTATGTTATTTGTTGTTTTTCCCTTGTTGCTTTTAATATTTTTTGTTTGTATTTAATTTTTGATAGTTTGATTAATATGTGTCTTGGCGTGTTTCTCCTTGGATTTTTCCTGTACGGGACTCTCTGCACTTCCTGGACTTGGCAATCATTAATTCTTGAGCCAGGCTTTTGTGGCTCAGGGGAGCCCTAGGAGACTACAGCTTTTCTACAAACAAGAGGCAGGCAGAGGACTCTGTGGTGGCAGTGGGGGATCTCTCTCAGGAAGGCCCCATAGGGTCCTGCTCAGTTACACTTTTGTTCAACAACATTGATGGAGCAACTGCTTGCGCTGCACACAGACTTGGTGCTGGGGTTATAAAGTGAAAATAAATAGACAACATCCCTGTCCTTATGGAGAAGCTTTTAAAAAGGAAATTGCAGGATATTAGGCAGTGATGAGGGCTAAGAAAAAGAAAATAAATCAGGGCAAGCTGGGCAGCGCAGGGTGGGTTGGGGCTTTGGTTAGTGATGGGGATGAGGTAGGTAAAGGGGAGGAAGATGTGAAGGGCTGAGTAAGCACGATGTTGGGGTGCACAGGCCCCAGAACTCTGTGTCCTCCTGGGCACCAGGACTGTGTGCGCACCTGCATCCCTGTGTTCACCAAGCAGTTGAGTCCTGGTCCAGCTCAACCCCCAGAGCACTCGGCCATCACAGCACTACCTGTGTCCTGATTCCCCCCAACAGGGCCTTCCAGCCAATCTGCTGGCTGTGCTTCTAGCCAGATGTGCTAAAACAGAGGAGCGCAGCGATCCATAAAACAGCACGTCCCCAGTCAAACTGGGGGAGTGAGAGCACTTTCTGATTTTTTTTTTTTCTAGAGATTTGGGATTTAAATTGAACCCAGCGCAGGACAGTGGGTTCTGTGGGTGACAGTGGACAGCCACACCTGTGAAAGGGGGGAGACATGAGTGGTAGTGATGGCAACGAGGCACCCAGCAGTGGGAGATACAGAGGGTACCCAGTGCCAGCTGACCTCAGTCCTCCCCAAGTGCTGACCCCTGTCACTGGGCATGACATCTCCAGGGCCTGCCAGCACTGACATAGCAGCCCAGGCAGAAAAGCTCAGCATCTCAAGCTCGAGGGAAAGGAGAGGGGTCAGCCATCGCTAGAGTGGTGGTCAGGGGTGTGTGTGTGTGTTTCAGGAATGTAAATGCAGAAGCTGGATAGATGCTCCGTAGGCTACTTCTTGGTTCATCAGCACTCTTAGACCCAACTAATCTTTCTTTAATTGGAATACAAAAGACTATGCCTTGCAATCCCAGAATGGCAGTCATGACGATCAAGAGTGATTCCCAACCCTTCTGAAATTGTTCCGCCTACTCAACATCCCCTCTCTTTGGCATATTTGCTATTTGAAGACAAAAGCAGGTTAAATTAATTTTGTGTCTTCCCGGTTTTCCCCCACTGCTACTGGAACTTGCTGGTGTGAAGTCTTGGGACAGAACAGCTGCCGTTCACAGTCAAGCAGTGGGTTCACCTGATCAATACTGCATGATGCTAACTGTTATATTCCTTTTTGTTACAGCCCCAGCCCCGAAAAGGCAAAAATGTGACCACTGGACCCCGTGTCCCCCAAACACGTACGCCTACCGGTTGCTCAGTGGGGGTGGCAGGGACAAGTATGCCAAGATATGCTTTGAGGATGAGGTGTAAGTACCACAGCGGGAAAAGAAAACCTAGCTCTCCCCCTTGGTTCTTTCCCTTCTCTGAGGCTGACCAAGCAGCAAGTCTGCCCCAGGAGAGAAAGGCATCTTCTTGACCTCAGGCAGAGGCTGGGGGCATCCAGGGGAACTGAGAATGCATGCTGTGCCGAGGGTGGGGAGGTGGGACCCGTAGATTGGTTTTATGTGTCCCATGTTGAACTTTCATTTGACAGCAGTTAGCAAAAACCTCAGTACATATTTTGTACTCTAGCCCTTCAAAGTCAGGGAAACATCAAAACTCAGCGGATACGGCTGTCCTTGCATTTGGGTTTTGATCCTCACCCTCATGGGTTAAAGCCAGTGTCGTCTCTCCCTGCAGCCCCTATCCCCCACATAGCTCGGTTCAGCTTCTGTGCCACTGCCTTACCCTTGACAGCCCAATAAACCCTGACACTTGGAAGTGTCCTAGCCCAGTGTATTCCATGGCTAGGGCTGCCGTAACAAAGTACACAGACAGGGCAGTTTAAACAACAGACATTCATTCTCTCTCAGTTCTGGAGGCCAGAAATCAAGATCAAGGTGTGGGCAGGGCTGGTTCCTTCTGAGGCTGCAAGGGAGAGTCTGTCCCATTCTCCCTCCTTGGCTTGTAGATGCCGACTTTGCCCTGTGTCTTCACAGCGCCATCCCTCTGTGTGTGTGTCTTGATCCAATTTTCCCCTTTTAAAAGGGACACCAGTCATTTTGGATTAGGGTCACTCTAAAGACCTCATTTTAACTCAGTCATCTCTTTAAAGGTCTATATCCAAATAAGGTTACATTCTGAGGTTCTAGGGGTTAGGACTTCACCATTTGAACTTCGAGGGAACACAGTGCAACCCACAGCACCAAGCTTAAGGATGGTTTGGGCGATTAAGTAATTATTACAAATGAGAGAAAATGTGGTCTGTTCCTAACCCTGAGTAGGAAGTCATTCCCAATTATCCCACCATTTCCCCCAAACCAGGCACACTTTCCCTTTTTTTGTTGGTTAGCTGTTGCCCACAGCACTCAGCACTTGCTGCATTTCCACCCCTCCACCCTCAGTCCCTTGGTCTCTGCACGTACCTTGTTCTCCCAAGGAGCAGGCAGCGCGCTCAGAGAGGGGGTCGGATTCAGCTTCGTACACCTTACACAGTCCTGGCATATCCCCTCATTCAATATTTGGGAGTTGGGTAGAAATAGCCCCTTCGCTCTGCAGGTCCATCGTGTCTCTAAGGTCCCCTTTGCTCTGCCGGACAGTTTGTTGATAAACATTCATCCACCGATGAACTCCAGAGGGTGAGGCACTCAGCTGAGGGACCGTGACATGGAACACATGGCTCCTGCCCAAGAAGCTGACGTCACAGTTCAGGGTTCTCCGCCTCAACCCCATGGACACCCTGCATGGTAGGGGCTGCCCTGAGCATTTCAGGGTTAGCAGCACCCCTGGCCTCCACCCACTAGATGCCAGAGAACACCCATCCTCCCCACCGGCTGTGACAACCACACAGGTCCCAGACATTGTCACACGTCCCCTAGGTGGCAAAATCCTACCCCCCACCCCATTAAGAACCAGTGGTATAGTTGGAGAGAACAAACAGAGTTTGCAAATGTCCATGGTAAATGCTGTATGGTAACTCTGTGTGTGTGTGTGTGTGTGTGTGTGTGTGTGTGTGTGTGTGTGTAATTTCGGAGGTGATGCCCTGATGAATGGGATTGTCATGGAGGCAGATTGAAAACTGAGCAGGATCCCTTGGCAAGGAAGAGGCGGGAAGACCTGGGAGGGGTGGGGACAGTGGGAGGGGATCACTCATCCAGAATCACATCGCCAGAAGAGGATTATTCAAGCTCAGATCCCAGAGCCCGGGATTTGCCCTGCTCCACAGTGCCTGACACCTTCTCCCGACCATGCATAGGAGCTACTGCATCTTACCTGGTACAAACCAACTCACTTATACTTTAACTTCATAGAACTCTGTCTGAGGTAGGTACCATTATTATTCCCATGATACAGACAAGGCAACTGAGTCACAGAGAGGTTCAGTCACTTGCCCCTCATCACACAGCTGTTAGTGACAGAGCCAGGATTCCACCCGGACAAACGCAGGGTCTGCTGCGTGGACCAACTTGAATCCAATAGTCTAAAGGAACAACTAACCCTCTCTATGAATGTGTAGAACCAAAGGTAGCTTGCCTGCTTCAAAGAGTATTCTAGATGTTTTTCAGAATTCAGTGCAGAATAAAGCAGGATAAGCACAAGCAAAAGCAAATTAAAAGGAACAGGAATCAATGAGGCCAGATGCCAAGACCCTTGCTATGCCTTTAGTGTTGTGTTTTCTTGTAACAAGTCCCTGGAACAGAAAGGATGGGTTGCAGAGATCTCGTTGTTTTACAAATAAAATATACAGGTTTGGGAATTCCCTGGCGGTCCAGTGGTCAGGACTCTGCGCTTTCACTGCCGAGGGCCTGGGTTTGAGCCCTGGTCGGGGAACTGATATCCCACAGACCACACTGTGTAGCCTTAAAATATATATATATATATATATATATATATATTTATATATATATATATCAGGTTTATGTAGAAAGACAAGAGGTTTTTTGCCATTTGCTTCATCCCTACAACCAGCATGTCCTGGGCGCCTGCAAACGTACCTCCCCCAGGGACAGCGCCCTCCATCTGTCAGTAGAGTCCCCCTACTCACTCACACCCATACCTCTAAACAGCGGGTTTACATTACAACTTCCTTGTCTCGGGTTTTCAGCGTTACCAGCTGCCCTGCCCCTCGGGAGCTCAGCTCTTTTCCACCATCACCCAATTCCTGTCCTCTTCCCTTACCATTGTCCTGATTAAGTTACTATACTGTCATCACGGTTTGAGCAAACTTCATCATTTACATGATTATGACTGTGAAAATAAAATTCAGAGAGTTTACTTGATAGGAATATTTTACCAAGGGAGAACCCAACTCCTGGCAAACAAGATTTCCAAATGGAAGGCGGTTAGGTGGCATGGCGCTCCATGGCCACGGCTCGGCTTATAAAGTTTGAATAAGTGCGGTGTTTTCTAGTGTGGCTTGTTACTAGAAACTTATGTGCCGTTGCATTGCATGAGCTGACTTGTTCATCACTGCAAGGTCATGCTGACATAAAGAAAGCTTAGGTTTTGTTTAAGGTCAGAGTCAGCATTTGGGGGACGTCAGGGCAGTTTTAAGTTTGGGTTGTGTGACTGTGAGGGTCCATCTAGGGATATATTCAAACTGTGGCCTCCAGTTTGGTTTTTTTTAATACTTACTTACTTAATTAATTAATTTGGTTGCACCGGATCTTAGTTGTGGGCTCCTTAGTTGTGGCATGCGAACTCTTAGTTGCAGCATGCGTGTGGGATCTAGTTCCCTGACCACGGCTCGAACCCGGGCCCCCTGCATTGGGAGCACGGAGTCTTAACCACTGCGCCACCAGGGAAGTCCCTCCAGTCTGTTTTTTTTTCTAACAGGACTAAACAGAAGTTCTTCATGACTGAAGCATGTTGTGTACAATAATTACGTTTCGTGTACTGTTGGCTCGCTTGGTTTTCCATTAAGTTACATCAGTTTAATCCCTAAACTTTCCTCTGGTTAAAATAAATCTCTCACATCAGATATTTACGAACTTCACCTCTGAAGCTTCTGTCCCTCTCCAATCAGCCAGGTTACCCTGCAGCTACCGTGCGGCTGTCATTCGGGGACCCCTCCCCACCACCATCCTGGGGATGACTTTTGCCTCCCTCTCTGTAGCTGGAGTCCCTGTTTCCTGGATACAGTACCTTCCACTTTCTTAGTTTCCACCCTTGTTTTGCTGGAGCACATCTTCCAATAACATCCTGAGAAAAGGGTACAAGGGGAGGTAATATTTTTAAAGATTCTTCATGTTTAAAATGTATTCATTCCCACCAACGATTAACTGGGAGTTTGGCTGAGGATAGATTTCTCAATTATAAATAGCTCCCACTTTGAATTTTGAAGTCTTTGCCTGGAATTAAGTGACTCTCACTCCTGCAATGTTTGAGTGTGGTGACCATGAGAATGCACTTCTCAGGTTTCTAGGGGCAGGTAGTTCATTGGCCAAGAGTTCCAGTTGCTGCATTCTAAAATCCATAGTAGGTTTGCTGGAGGCCCGGCTTCCCCTGGCTGCTCCTAGCCAGTGACTGAGACCTGTTACAGAAAAAAATATTCATGACACTTCGTGCAAATGATCAGGCCGACTTTATTCAAGGGGGTGATGGCAGTAAGCGTAGGGACCACTCTTGTGGGGTCTTGTAGGGGAGAGAGATTGGATTCAACTCCAGACACATCACGGGCAAGCATTTACAGCCAAGGAACAGGGTGGAGACTGTGGATAGAAAATTACTAAGAGGAAACATCAGGGTTGAGGGGATTCTGGCTAAACAGGTTAACAAGAGTCTTGCTGAAGGCGGGACCTGGAGGGTGGAGGAGGATTAAGAAACTGATTTCATATGGATTGTGATCACATATCAAAGGTGGGGCTTTCTGGTTAAACTGACTTAGCAGAAGTCTTGCTAAAATTGGACAATGCAGAGATGAGTGGAAGTCCCAAAGTCAGGCCTAGTTTAAAAAGAGCTCGGGGGGCCTGAGTAGAGTTTGGTCAAGGAGAGAATCCTTATCAGAACCTTGAGATACCAGGCAGCCCCATTCCTGGGCCACACAGGCTCAGCTGAAGCCCAGCTTGCGTTCCAAGATGCCCATTGGCCTTGCCAAAGTCTCCTGAGACTGCCTGGCCGCCTAGGACATGCCCACCCCAGCTTTTTCCCTTTCCTCCCCTTAGGGTCAGGCTTGAGTTGGGGTCTGACAACTCGCCCTGCTTAACCCCACCCCTCTCACCTTCTCTCATAGGTATTTCCCCTAATAAAAATTCTAGTGCATTTAACCCTGTTTTGGTATCTGCTTTTCAGAGGACTCAGATTAACACAATGAGAAGGACTGTTCCCTCACAGTCTGTCCAGCAAGGCATGTTGACTAATATTTTGAGTTTTGCCATTCTGAGAGAAGAAAGCTAGTCTCAGATTAGTGTTTTATTGCTCTTGCTGTGAGGGAATCCAGGGTCTTTTCATGCTAAGAATGGCTGTACAGTCGGCCCTCCCTACCCATGGGCTCCACATCTGCGGATTCAGCCAACCATGGATCACATACTATGTTTATGATCCATGGTAGGTTGAATCCACTCATGCAGATCTCACAGATACAGAGGGCCGGCTATGGAACTTATTGAGCACCCGTGGATTTTGGTATCCGTGGCAGGTCCTGCAGCCAATGTCCTGCAGATACGGAGGGATGGCTGTATGTATTTTCTGTGAACTGTTTATATCTCCTGCCCATTTTTATTCCTATCCCTGGGCATTTTTAATTGATTTATAAGATTCTTTATGTATTAAGGTAGTTAGCCCTTTTGCGTTATAAAACTGCTCTCCATATTTTGTCTTTTCATTTTTTAGATGGCATTTTAAAATATGCTTATGCTGTAGTTAATACCTGACCTTTAACAAAGCAAAGAAAATACACACCATATAGTGAAAGCAAAAATTTAAAAATTTGACAAGCAGCAAAAACAGAAAACAACCCAATTATGAAGTTATCACAAAGAACAAATATATCTCACGTATATTAAGTGGCCTGTAAAAATGCCAATTAAAAGGAGGCAATTCTTAGATTGAATCACAGCACATAAACCCCAAATTATGCTGTATATTAAAAATGCATACATACAAGAGAATTGAGGTCACAGGGAAAACCACCACCCTGAAAACTGGAGAGACAGGCAGATTCATCAAATCACAGATTACCTGGAGCAGGGAGCTCAGCTGGATCTAGCATCCGGTAGGAACCCTTAAAGGGTAAGTGACTAATTGCTGGAGACTGAGCTTGAATGAGTTTGAGAGATTAACTCCTGGAGGCCAAGCCTTGGAGGAGCTCCTACACCTTCCTGAGTTTCTCCTCCAGGAGCCCTACCAGGCTTTCAGAGGGAAGACTGAAGAAAAATCCCCTCATGCTTCTGGCACTGGGAATGGGAAAGTAGCCATTTTGAAATATGTCCCCAGTGCTCTGTTCTTCTTAGCAGGCTTGTCTTCGAGGGAAACTGTTTTACCAGAGTCTAACCAATGAAGTTTTTACCAAAGACTAGCCAACCTGGGGGAGGGAAATACCCAACTCCAGGCCCCCCTGGCCTTCCTGTCTCCCCTAAGGAGTGAAAGAAAAAAGAAAAGCCACTTGTGAAGGCCACAGCTCAGGGGCACAGGCTCACTAAAAGACTGGGACCTGATCACAGGCCTATGGAACACTTCCTCATTCCTGACATCTTACTACCACATAATAGGGCTCCTGTAAAATAACAAGGGATTACAGCTGAAAAAAACGGAAAGTCTCAAACCCAATGTAAAAGAGTCTATAGGGATACCCAAGAAAGAGAGGAGAAATGTTAGCCTCTGACACCTACGGCTACAGCAAATAGTAAACAGAGCCTAACTCCCTGCCAGATGAACATAACATTCACACTAAAGACCTATTTACCAAGTATACCATGTCTGGCTTTCAACAAAAAATAACAAGACATACGAAAAGTAAAAAACCACAGTTTGAAGAGACAGGGAAAGCATCAGTACCTTGCCCAAATATGGCAGAAATTTTGGAATTAGCATACCAGGAATATAAAACAGCTATGATTAATATGCTAAGAGCTGCAATAGAAAAAGTGGACAGAATACAAGAACAAATGAGTAATGTAAGCAGACAGATGGACACCCTAAGGAAGAATGAAAAAGAAATGGTGGAAATTAAAAACACCATGACAGAAATGAAGAACCCCTTTTATGGGCTCATTAGTAGATTGGACACAACCAAGGAAAGAATCATTGACCTTAAGGCTATGGCAATAATACCTCCCAAACTGAGAAAAGAGGAAGAAAAAACATAATTAAAAACCTGAAAAATAAAAAAGAACAGAATATCCAAGAACTGTGGGACAACTACGAAAGGTATAATACATGTAATAAGAATACCAGAAAAAAGAAGAGAGAAAGAAACAGAAATATTTGAAGCAATGTTGCTGAGAACTTTTCAAAATTATCCACAGACACCAAACCACAGATCCAGGAAGCTCAGAGAAAACCAAGCAGGATAAATACCCCAAAATGTACACCTAAGTAAATTGTATTCAAACTAGAGAAGATTAAAGACGAAGAGGAAATCTTGAAAGTAGCCAGAGGCAAAACCAACAACAACAACAAAATAAAATGAAACAAAAAAAAACACTTTACTTATAAAAGAACAGGGTAGGAATTACATCAGGCTTTTCTTCAGAAACCACGCAAGCAAGAAGAAAGTGGGGTAAAATATCTAAAGCAAAGTGGCTGTACCATTTTACATTCCTATCAGTGCATGAGAGTTTCAGTTAATCTGCCACTATATTCACCAGCGCTTGGTATGGTCAGTCTTTCTAACTGTAGACATTCTAATAGGTATGCAGCAGTATCTGACTGTGATCTTAATTTGCATTTCTCTAATAACTAATGATGTTGAGCCTCTTTGCATGTGTTTATTTGCTGTATGTATATCTTACTTTGTTAAGTGCCTATTCAAATCTGTTCATTTTTAATTGGGTTGTTTTCTTCTTATGAATTCTGAGGTTTGTTTATGTGTTTTGTATTCAAGTTCTTTATTAAATATATGATTTTCCTATAGATTCTCCCAGCTTGTTTCTTGTGTTCTTCTTCTCTTAACAGTATTTATCAAAGAGCAGAAATTCTTAATTTTAATGAAGTCTAATTTATCCATTTTTTCCTTCTATGGAGCATGTTTTTCACATCATGTCTAAGAACTTTTTGTCTAACCCACAAAATTTTTCTTCAAAGCTCTCCAAAGTTTCTTCCAAACTTCTAGAAGTTGGATAATTTTAGGTTTTCCACTTTATATAATATGATATACCCATTTTGAGTTAATTTTTGCAAATGGTGTGAAATATGAATTGGAGTCATTTAAAAACATGGCTACTTAATTGTTCTAGCGCCATTTTTCATAATACTGTCTTTCTCTACTGAATTCTTTTTGCACCACTGGCAAAAATCAAGTGACCATATACGTGTATATCTAATTCTGGACCCTCTATTCTCCATCTATCTGTTTGTCTGTCTTTTCACTATATGCAGTAATTTTGATAACTATAACTTTACAGTAAATCTTGAAGTTCAATAATATAATTTCTTCAATTTTGTTCTTTTTTTTCAAAATTATTTTGACTATTCTAGATTCTATTTCCATATGAATTTTTGAATCAGCTTATAAATGCCTACACAAAAGCCTACTGGCGTTTTTCTTTTTTTTCTTTTTGAGATTGCATTAGATCTCTAGATAATCTGGGGAGAATTGACACCTTAGCAATATTGAGTCTTTTACTCACCTGAATTTATGTAAATCTAATTTGTCTCAGTAATGGTTTGTAGTACTCAGTGTATGCATCTGTAGATACTTTTGCCATATTTATCGCTAAATATCTCATACTTTTATGCTATTGTATATATTTTTTAATTTAAAATTTAAAAGTTAAAAAAATGAAGTTTAAAATTTCAATTTCCCATCATTAGTTGCTAGTATGTAGAAATACAATTGACTTTTATATAATGATCTTGTATCCTGCAACCTTCCTAACCTCACTTATTAGTTCTAGTAGCTTTGTTGTAGACTCCACTGGATTTTCTACATAGGTGATCATGTCATCTACAAAAAAAAAAAAAAACGGCAGTCATAACACTTCTTTTCTAATCTGCATGCCTTTGACTTCTTATGAAGATAATGTATCATTGATTTTAAAACTTGACAGAGGATGCATGCACTCATACAGATGCACACACACACACACACGCACACACACACACACACACACACACACACACACACACAAAGATCTTCAGTAATATTTCACATTTCCAGGAAGGTCAGTCTTCTTCCTGGCTTTAGGACACAATCCCCTTGAAACTGGCATTTCATATTCTCCGATTTAAAAGTAAAAATTAAGTGAAGTAGTGTAAGGGATTTATTTAAGGAGATAATCAGGGTTACATTTTGTGGTTGGATAGAAGCATCTCCAGGTGTCCGCAAAACCTCCGTCAGAGCACTGATGGGGAGAGGACGCATGGAAGCTGATACCAGAGTTGGGTCAGACCCATCTCTTATTCATCCACCTCTTGTACCTCATTTTTTTTCCAGCCAGCCAGTTTGAATGTGTCCTTCATGTTTGTCAACCCTTCTCTTGTGTTCCTCGCATCCCATCAACTGTCGAAACCCAGCAAGTATACATCTTCAGTATCTCTTTACTTTGCCATCTCCTTTCTCATCCCACTTCTCATCTCCTTGTTCATGGTCTAGTAAGCTTCATCAGACTATGAAAGTAACCAGGTTTTGTGTGTGTGTGTATGTCTCCAGACTTTCTGGCTCCTAATCCATTCTACTGGTTGTTGTACTCCATATTTATAAAGTGGGAAAATGAATGCCCGCCCATGAGGAGGTTGAGGATTCAGTGAGAGAATGTTTGCAAAGAGCCTGTGCTAAACAAACACTGGTGTTTCTCTCCCTGGCCCTTTGTATAAATTATAGGACTAAATGCAGTTTCCAGGTTCCCTGAGGGACTCAGACTGTAGAGATGTGTGGGGACGGATGTGTGTGGAGCGAGTGTAGGGGTGACTTTCAAGGGAGCTGGGTCAAGGCCAGTGCATATCTACAAGGAAATGGTAAGTGACAAAGGATGGACAGTGATTTTGCCAAGAGAGTATCTTACAGAGCAGGGAGGGCTACTCACTGCTTGGTGAGAAAGGAGTTCTTTGACAGTTGCTTATCTGCATTTCAGGCTCATAGGAGAAAAGACTGGGAATGTGGCAAGAGGAATAAATATTGCCATTGTCAACTGTAAGTTATTAAATGTTTTCTTTAAAACTCCTCTAAAAGCTCTGTGATTGGATATTCAGTGGTACCTCGGGTTTCTTTATGGTTTTTGCACACGATCTAGTCTAGGTTTATATTTTAATGCATTTTAAGAGTACATATTTAACTATTTTTTACAGTGCCTCACTTTAGAGATTTGTGGCTCTACCAAAAAACTGAAATCAAATATAAACTGATTTTAAAAAAACAAAGAAGGACCTGCTGAATTCAGGGCTAAAACCAGACCAGCAGACCTGGGGGTACAGACACCCTGGAGTTGGGCTTCACGTTTGCTCTGATTCCCGGTGGCCCAGCAGAAGGTGACACCAGTTCCTACCTTTGTCTGATAAAAGGGCCTCAGGGGAAGCACAGCCTGCCCTCCTCTTAGGCCTGGAAAAAAAAAAAATCTGTCACTATTGCCATCGGGGCCCCTGACAGTAAGAACTGTAACAGGTTTAGAGAAAGGGTTTCCCTTGGCGTCTGTCCCTATGAGCAAGGTGAGCACATAGTCCAGTGACAGAGGGCTGCAGGAACCTGAGGAAAATGTGCCTGATCTGCAGGAAAAGCTACAGGGGGCAGCAGAAAGGGCTGAGTGGGGGCCCTGGTGTTTTGGGGAAGAGGCAGGTGCACTGGGAAAGAACGTGGGCGTGAATCTAACTGGAAGCAGGCGGGAGGGATGCTCTGGGCAGCCGGTGTGAGCCCTGCCTTCCTGAGCCGAATCACTGGGGCCCCCTTCAGGGAAGGCGGTCCTTTCCTTCAGGTGGGACCATGGCAGTCATGCTTCCTGGAAAGAGACAGAGAAGGAACACGCTGTTTTCAGAATGTGCCCTGAGTCCCCATGTACCTTCTTTTAAAAACTGTTTCTCTCATTTCCAGATGTGACTGGGAAAGTATTAGCAACACAGTATTTTGATATGTACAAAGGAGGTAAGGAAACCCTTTTCCTCTTAAAATTAATTATACACACAAATTAGGATTAAAAAAACACAACCAAAAACATCAAACATTCTTATTTTGTCTCCCAAAAAATTTGCCGGAAGCAAATTTTTTCTAGAACTGTCTTACATAAACCCTTGTGGTCTCTGAGTTCATGTATTAAAATCTGAAGGCATTATCTAGAAAATGTCTTTTCTTTGATCACACTTGTCCTGGATCTTTTCCTTCTGCCCCTTCCTCGGATAATGGGAAAGAGAAAACATCTCTTTCTTTTTTTAAACCAAACATGTAGAATAATGTGATCAGCCTCCAGCCCTGAATGTCATCATAATTACTGCTGTGTTCACGGCGCTGGGCGTGGTGCACGCATTCCTGGAGCCCAGGGTGTCCATCCTCCTCCAACTGTCCCTCCATTCTGGACTCTGGATCTTGACTGAAGTTGTTTTTATTTAACACTGAGAATTACCTAAAACAAATCTTTATAAAGATAATGGAGGGGAGCAATTAGAAGTGCCTGGATGCACTCGGGAACGATGCCGTTAATCATAGCTACAAATACAAGCCCCAGTGGTAAATAACAGGGTTTGAGCTGAGCCTTTATTTCCTCCCTGTAAGAAATAGAGGGGTCTCTTAGCAAGGACTTACCCATCCCGGTGTGGTCTGTTACGTCTCGTATTTCTCCTCAGTGTCCTGGAGCCACTCGGCTCTTAGAGGGTCATGCCCAGGTCCGGTGCTTTCTTATTAATTGCAAAGAAGAGCCCGCCTGTGTTGCCAAAGTCGCTGCCGGTTGGTTTCAGAGCTGATCACTAGAATCTTTATGATCCGATCATGCTGCTTGCCTCACATCGCCCCGCCGTGGAACCCACAGGCCGTTTACTACGAAAGCGCTAAAGCATCATTTGCGTGGTCGAGAGACAGTTCTAGAATCAGAGGATTCAGAGCCCGGGGCACAGAAGCTGAGAGCAGAAGCACAGCCTCTAGGGCCAGAGTCTCAGCTGACAGAGAAGGTCCTAAGACTGATTTGCATTGACCCGGCAGATAACTCTGGACCGATGACGAATTTTATTCAGAGCGCTCCCTCGAACTCCCTGCTCTTCATGGTGACCCACGATGACGGTAGCAGCAGGTGAGTGCAGACTTGTCACAGCAGGGGCGAGAGTCAGGGAAGTCAGCGGGGGGGCAGAGCATCAGGGCTGTCAGTGTTCCTCAGTACATCATTTAGGAGAGGACAGAGGTCCAAGGAGAAGGATGCTTCTTCAAGGAAAAGGAATGGGAAACCATGAGGAACAGACTGCATTTCTAGAGAAACAACAAGCTGGTGGGGTGCATAAATCCTAGAAACTAAGGAATATTTCCAGGTAGCAAGGCAAAGCCACCACTGACCATAAATAAAATAGCAAAGCTAACCCTTGGCCAAAGAGCTAAACCCAGGGTGGGACTTATACACACGCACGCACACACGCACGCACACACTCACGCACACATACACGATGCTTTCACTAGGGAGAAAATGACCTGGTGAGTGTTTCTCCAAGCGTGCTCTCCTGAGCAAACGTGTGCGTCTTCACTGCCTAACTTCTGAAAACCCCAGAGTGCTCATAGGCATCGTGAATTTCCGAGATGGGGCTACTGAACATGGCATTTCCCAAATTTGTTTGAATTCAGATCTTATTCTTAAAAGAGCATCTTCCCAGATGGAAGTTCTTTGACATGTGCTTTGAAAGACTCAGATTTAATCTATTTAGGAAAATCTGAACTTATTTTTTCTTTTCCTTTCTGCCCACCTCCCTTTACTTTGCCCTGAGTTGCACCTTTCTACAACGGTAGGATTCTTTAGGTTTTGTTTTTGGTCTTTTTCTCATTTTTTGATACTGACTTTTCTGAATACGAAAGGGACAGTTTTGACACTTGTTTTCATCTTTCAGCAACTTCTGTCCTCTTTATTTGTGGTCAGTAAACAGGAGGGCAGCAAGGACCGAAAACTATGCTGGCTGGGATGAGGATGACTGAACCCCAAGACCCAGGGCTTTTCCGAATTGAGAATTAAAACTCTGGGCACCAAACTGAGTCTAAAAGAGTCCTGGATGTGGCCTTATGTGTAACTAGAGATGTGACACACTCAGCCAGCATGTGTGTTTCCCTCCTGCCCTGCACCCCAGGAGGGCAGGCGCTGCTTTAGAAACCTGTCCTAGGACAGACTGTGTCCTAGCACCACATACCCGAGTCTGCAGGTGAGACATTCACATGCTTCCCCCTTTGCCCCGCAGACTGAAGGAGGACGCTAAGAAGGCCATAGAAGCCCTGGGAAGTAAAGAGATCAGGAACATTCGGTTCAGGTCGAGCTGGGTATTTCTTGGAGCAAAAGGCTTTGAACTTCCTGCAGGAATTCAGAGAGAAAAGGTGAGTGGTTGCTAAACATCCCTTCCTGAAAACCAGTTACCATATGTCCTAGCAATTCCACTCATAGATACATAGCCAAGAGAATGAAAAACATACGGTCACACAAAAACTTGTACGAGAATGTGCTATTCATAACAGCAAAAAAGCAGAAACAACCCAAATGCCTGATTAATAGATTTTAAAATGTATAAATAAAATGCGGTATATCCATACACTGGAATATCATTAAGGCACATACAGAAATGGAGTACTGATATAGGCTATGACATGGACGAACCTTGAAAACACACTAAGTGAGGAAAACCAAACACAAAACGACACATACTGTATGATTCCATTTATATAAAATTTCTAGATTTCTGACCAGAGACAGAAAATAGATCAGGGGCTGTCTAAAGGCTGTGGAGGATGGTGAGTAGATTCGAATGGGTTTGTGCATTCTTGTTCCTTGTTCACGCTCTGAAATTGAGTGTGGTGATGGCTGCATGCCTCTGTGAATATACTAAAAGCCATTGAATTGTACACTTTAAATGGGTGAATTTTATAGGATGTGAATTCTGTCTCAGCACAGCTGTTATATTAAAAAGAGAGAGAGAACTAGAATTGCAAAGTTTAGAATGCATATTCTTATTCTTTTGAAGCATGAGTTTAAGGTGCTCCATTGTCTGTGAAAGAATTGAAGATGGAAAGCCTTAAAGTCAAATCAATCTGAACAAGGAACAAGTGTTCCTTCTGAGCAAGGAACACTCCGATTACCCTGAAAAAAATATATAGTCCTTCTCCCAGAGAATTGAAAACCAGACTTGAGAGTTGTGCCTCCCATATGGCAGCTACTCACCAGATTTGCAGGTTACACTTAAACTGATTCAAGTTAAAGAGAATTTAAAATTCAGTTCGTCAGTCACGCTAGCCACATTTCAAGTATTCAGTAGCCAAATGTGGCTAGTGGCTACTCTACTGGGCACGTGGATTAAAGGACACTTATACCATTGCAGAAAGTTTTCCACCTGTTGAATCAAGTTGCTTCAAATATTGAGTCACATTGAGAGGAAATCATGTACCCTGAGTAGGTTGTAACAAATCCCATCCTAGGAAGTGATTCTCTTTTTATGACTTTGCTCACAGCTGGCTCGCTAACCATTTGTTGATTAGATGAATGGATAAATTAAATCTTTTTCTTTCCTTTGCACAGATCAACCACTCAGATAATGCGAAGAACAGGTATTTGGGCTGGCCCGCAGAGATCCAGGTAGAAGGCTGCATACCAAAAGGACCAAGCTAACATTGCCCGGCCTCAATAAAGGTGCCTTTTATAGACAAATGCATCCCGAATGGACCACAACTCTTAGCCAACAGTCAATATTTGATGAGTATTTTGGGTTTGTCGTCGACCAGCCGACCAAAATATTTTCCAGTTGTCTAAAATCTTGTCGCACAGACTTTTTATGCCAGTGTTTATAGAGTGGAGGCAGTGAGCAGGACAGCTGAAATGCATGGGAATTGTTCAAGGGGATGCAATGACTTCCCTTTGAAAGGAGAGGATTGGGGGGTGGGGGAAGTAGCTACTGCTTGTCCAGATGTGGAGCCACTTTACGATTGGATCTATGTTTGATCCCTGTGGTCCAGACAGCTCTGCAGAGAGAAAACCTTTATTCCCCGATCACCAAGCACACCCTCCTTTCGGACGGTCGCCTCTCAGGATGAACAGCAGTCAGAGGGCTTAGCAACCTTCCTGGGTCAACCCCAGTTGAGCTCTTGAACTCCTCCTGCAGGTCCCTGAATTACTCATTCCACCAATCTGGGTGTGCCTATCTCAGGCACCAGCGGTGCGGTGCGGTAGTGAGGAAATTCCGTGTCCGCCTCCATGCTGGGGTGTCACTCCAGTGGCCGGTGGGACCTTGTCTAACAGGGTGGGGGAGAAGGATCTCTGACAGGTGAGTAGGGTCTGCTCTCGGGAGAGCCACTGTATACCCCAGGTTTCCTAGGAGACACACCATAGATCTACGGACCAAGATACCCAGGGACTTGGGGTTAAGAAACTCAAGTCATTGCCAAGTGCCCATTCTAACCTCCCTCCCAAGCCTGGCTACCAGAAATGGTGGGAGGCTTTGGTACCAGCTTAAGAGTGCTTCTCTGAGCCTCCAGTTTCTCATCTATAAATAGAGGGATGGGGATAGACAAATGATTTTCAAGCACTTCTATCGGCAGGCCTCTTTTGAAAAACATGGCAGCACTTGGCACCCTGAATTTCAGCACCCTTGCAGGATCAAGCCACCCAGATCTCAGTGGCTGACAACAGTGCTGAGGTCTCCTTCGTGTAGTAGGTGACTCGCCGGGCAGCCGAGGCTCAGCTCTGGGTGCCCGGAGCCAGGATGAAGGAGCGTCCATCTCAGGCATGGAAGCCAGAGAGAGCAGAAGTCCAGAGGTCCCCCCAAAGCTCCTGCCAGGACACATGTGAGCCCTCATCCTTGCACCCCTTTGCCAACCAGGGGGGACATCAGCCTCGTGGCAGCGGGGGGTGACTGTCGGCCCCTCAGGGAGCCTGGGCCTCTCTCTGCAGAGGAGTCTGCAAACCACTGGATACGATCGTGGCTGGGGCCCTGTTATGGGCTAGATTCTGTTCCCCCCAAATTCATGAGTTGAGTCCTAACCACCAGTACCGCAAAATGTGACCTCATGTGGAGACAGGGTCATTGTAGGTGTAGTAAGTTAAAGCAGGGTGACCCTCATTCAATATGACTGGTGTCCTAACAGAAAGGAGATGTTTGGACACAAACAAGCAATCAGAGAGAACCTCTTTCTGGGTTCTAGATCACTTTGGAGGAGGCCTGGAAGCGGCGTCTGGAGAGCATTAGGGCATCGCTGAAAAGGCAGCAGCATGGGGACCTGCGGGCTGCAGGGGCTGGAACAGAGAGGGGCGATCAGGAGGACCGCAGGCCCCTCTGTAGGGGACTGTCACAGTGGGCGCATGTCCAAACCCATTGCATGTATAACCCCAAGAGCGACCCCATGGTAAACTGTGGACTCCTGGTGACAATGGGCAGTCGTGGATTGTGACAAATGTGCCCCTTGGGTAGGGGGTTAGTCAACAGTGGGAGGGGGTAGTCAACAGTGGGGTAGGCTGTGCAGGGGGGAGGGCAGGGAGTCTCGGGGAGCTCTCTGTACCTTCCCCTCAATTTTACTGGGAACCTAAAACTGCTCTAGAAAATAAAGTCAATTGCCAGAAAACAAAACAAACCAAAACTTGCCAAGGAAACCAAGCCTTACGTGGGCAGCCACCCCTGAACATCTGTCCTAATTACACAGACCCCCGGGAAGTGACCCTAAGCCCTCCCCACACCCGTGAGCTCTCCCAGGTGTGCAGACCTGCCCCTCCCTGCGGCGGGTTGGGGGGGGTGGGGGCTGGAAGTGCTGCCCCTCCCACAGAGAGGGGAGGGCCTCTAGCCTCTGCCCTGGAAAAGGCAGGCACTTCTTGAGCTCTCAGCATCCCTATTTCCTAGATGCTTGGACTTCTGACACCATAAAATCAGGAACATGGCTTGTTCCTGACAGGAAAGTGTGTCACCAGCTAGGACCCTCCATCGCGCTGCCCACCCCAGGCCTGTCCTCCTAGCATCTGCCCTGAGGAGGGTCACCATCGTCACCCCGATTGGAGAAGTTGGGGCCCAGACAGTGAAGAGTCAGGGGGTTTCTACCCCCCAAGCGGCCTCTGCTACTTTGCCCCACTGGCACAAACATACACTTAGGACTCAGACTCCTTGGTCCCTCCATCTCCTTAATCCATTAATCAGGGAGACATTGCATGGTCTCCTCTGTACTGCTGAGAAAGCACACTCAGAAGGAGAGGTCTGGCCGAGGGTGGGTGCATTCTGGTTCCAGATGGCTCGGGGCTGTATGAACGCTCAGGCCAGCCCTTCCTCAGAGGGTCAGTGGGCCGAGAGGGATGAGGGGCTCTGGCCGGGGATCGTCATCAAGCTCCCCGCAGCTTGAGAACCAGCCCAGCACTTTGATGCTGTCAGGATGAGGGGCGTGCCAAGGGGATGCTCTTCTGAGCGGGGATGCAGGGTCCTCCAGCTGCCTCCACGGAGGTGCGGTGCCTTCACTTGTAACTTTCCTGGAACATAGACGTACCCGCCCTGTGACGCAAGACATTGGTGGTGAAGTTGGCTGCCCACTTCTTCCCTCCATCCTTCACCTCTGCCCCGGGGCCTCTGGATGATCTGGGCAAAAGACCCCACGGGACACAGACCCTGAGACTCTCCCTGTAACTTCCTAATGCCAGGGTTTGAAAACCATTCTTTTAGCCTCTAAATTTCTTCTTCAAAGGGAAATGTGCCCACAAGTCAAGTGAATGAGCAAAGAACTGCTCAGGATTTATTTTCTAATTTATAATCTTATTTTTTGTTTTGGAAAGGATCGCGGGAGTGAAGCTGAAACTGAGGCCGGCTTCCCCCATCCTGTGCCAACCCCTCATCCCGGGGCCTCGTCGCGGTTCCCCACACTCTGGTGATGGCAATGCCTGATTCACCCACCCCCCTTTAGTCACAGCGCTGCCGCCAGGAGACCTTTGGGGCCCCCTGGGGTGCAAGTAACCAAGCCAGGTCCAGAAAGTGGGGCTAGCTCAGGGCTGAGTTCCCAGCGAGAACTCTCCGAGAGCACAGGGACCAACGCGAGTATGAGGGCACGCACTGCACAAGTGGGGTACTGCGGGGAGCTGTGGACGTCCCTTTTTGGCGTGTTCAGAGCTTAAAATGAGGAGAGAGTGACAGTACAGAGCATCTCAGATAGTGTCCTGCTGGACAGCGCTGTGCTAAGTGACCGCATCTCCAAGGGTGGTCCGACCCCAACCTCTCTGAGAACACGTTAGCAAAGCAGAATCTCGGGCATCTGATCCTGGGGTGGGTGGCAGGGCAGACCCCCGTGTGTTTACAAGCCCACCAGGAAGCTCAGATGCACACTCTCACCAGGCATCTGAGGACAACTGTGTAAGTCACCAGGAAGTGTATTGATTCTTTAGTGTCTTATCTGTGGCAGGCCATTAGTTTCATTTCTCTTGCTGCTGGAAAAGAGAGCAGCAAGGGGAGAAGCCGTTTCTATAAAAGGGAAGCAGAGGGCTTTCCTGGTGGCGCAGTGGTTGAGAGTCCGCCTGCCGATGCAGGGGACACGGGTTCGTGCCCCGGTCCGGGAAGATCCCACATGCTGCGGAGCGGCTGGGCCCGTGAGCCATGGCCGCTGGGCCTGCGTGTCCGGAGCCTGCGCTCCGCAACGGGAGAGGCCACAGCAGTAAGAGGCCCGCGTACCAGGAAAAAAAAAAAAAGGGAAGCGGAGGAAGGGAGAGAGATGATTTGCCGGGTCTCCACTCTGCAGGTGCACAGGTAAGAGCTGGGCAGGGAGGGATGCTTCACCACGTCCTCATGCAGCAGACATGCTTTCCTTTTGAAAGGATTTTCTGGTAAACATAGCTTGGGCGGGAAGGCTGGAGACAGAAAGATACGTGTCTGAAGCTGCCTGTGTTGGTGCTGGCCTCCAGCCATCCCTGCAGGCAGAGAGCACGTTCTAGAAAGGAAGTGGCTGGACTGGGAACGCAAGGGGACCCGTCTCCCCAGATCTGGCCGAAGGCCCTGGGGACACAAAGAAGTGGCTTTGGGAACTTCCGTGGAAGGTACACATCTCAGGGTGGGGAGAGAGCTTTGTGCTCTGCGATGTTGTGATTTTTAGTAAGAAATATAGTAACTGTAGTCACCGTGCTGTACGTTACATCTCAGAGCCTGTATCGCATTTTTGAAAGTTGCTAAGAACGTAGATCTTAAAAGTCCTCATCACAAGAAAGAAATGTTAAGTATGAGGACAGATGTTAACTCATCATGGTGACTATTTCACAATACCTACAAATGTAGGAAAAAAGAGAAATATATTATTTGGTCTGTGTCAGTTCCTGACAAGGGGCTCCTAAAACCCTTGGGAGTGAAAAGAGCATCGTCTTCTGTTATGTTAATGAAGGGACTTCAGGTCGTAGTGTTTCGTTAATGAGATGGGAACCCTTTGCCTGGGGAAGCGATCCTGTGACCAGAGGGCTGAAATTTTCAGTCCCACCCCCAGCCTCCCGGAAGGGAAGAGGGGCAGGAAGTTGAGTTCAGTCACTGATGGCCAATGATTTCATCAATCATGTCGACGTAATGAAGCCTCCTTAAAACCCAAGCGGGTTTGGAGAGCTTCTGGTGAGCACGTGATTTGGGAGAGTGGCGCTCACAGGGAGTGTGGAAGCTCCCCACGCCTCCCACGCCTGCCCTCTGGGTCTTTCCATCTGGCTGTTCTTGAGTTAAATCCTTGTATAATAAGCCTGTGATCTAGTAAGTAAACTGTTTCCCTGTGAGCCGCTCTAGCAAATTATTCAACTCCAAGGAGGGGGTCATTGGAACCTCCGATTGATCTATAGCCGGTTGCTCAGAAGCACAGGTGACAACCTGTACCTGCTAGCCATTGGCATCTGAAGTGGGCAGCGTCGACTGGGGAAAAAAAATGCACAACGTGAGAGCTGTGAGTTAAGTTTTATTGGGGGCAGAATGAGGGCTACGGCCTGGGAGACAGCATCTCAGATAACTCTGAGAAACTGCTCCAAAGAGGCAGGAGGGAAGGTCAGTGTTACATATGATTTTAGTGAAGGGGGTACGTGCAGTCAAGTGCATATTTTGACAGAGGCTGACTGCTAGTCAGGGAGAGCAGAGGTCACCGTTAATGACTGTAGTGCTTTTCTAGATACGAGGAGATGCAAGCATTGGGCTCATAACATCTCCTGCAAATCTCTAACTATATGAGGGCCTGTTCTGCCCGTTTCTCCCAGCGCACAGAGGGCCTCATTCCTGATCTCCACCCTGAGCTCCTTTCAGGGGGTGTTGAAGGTGAGCGGCTGCAGTGGCGGGTGACCTCATCTTTGTAGAGGCAGGTGGCAAGTGACAATTTGTAGCTGACAGCAGGATGGGGTGGGAGCTGTTGAGTAGGGCTGAGGCCCCTCTGATAGCCCTGTGACACCTGATACCATGGCCTGGTAAATAGTGTCAGAATTGAGTTAACTGCTTGGTGATGTAGAAAGACACAGGCACTGGAACCGGCATCAGAATTGAAGCCCCAGAGCCTGGCCTCAGAGCTTCAGGAGCCGTCTTGTGCATGGTAGTGGTGGCCACCCTCAGTGGTGTCCTGGAAAGCTGGCTCTTCTGAAGGGCGAGGACACCTGATTTCTAGCGTTTGCTGATTCCCCTTGTAGCATGTACTGGTACATGGTTATGCCTTCAAAGTTTTACTTGGAGAGAGACAGGTATTGATGCCAAGTCTGCCCAGCAAAGAAAGGTATGTGTGTCCTAGGGCTGCCATGGCAAAGTACCCCAGACTGGAGGGCTGAAATAACAGAAGTGTATTCTCTCCCAGGTCTGGAGGCTGGAAGCCTGAGATCAAGGCCTCAGCAGTGTTGGTTCCTCCCTGCGACCCTGAACAGAACCCTCCCTTGCCTATTCCAGCTTCTGGTCCTTGTCAGCACTCCTTGGCACTGTTTGAGGAAAATACCTCAGGATGCTGAGGTCATACAGCCAGCAGGAAGAAGTAATCCAGGCCACGTGGTCAGCCGTGACCCATGACCCATTCTCCATGTCTGATTGTCTGATTTTGCAGGACAATCAGACATGGAGCTCTTTCCCGCCTGCTCACACGGAGCCAGGGGCTAAGCCAAGGAAGGTTTAGACTTGGATCCGAGAGTAATGATATCTTTCTTCCTCTTTCCTGGAAATCTCAGTGAACAAGATTTTTGTTGCTGTATTCTGCTTTTAGGAGAAATTACTTTCTATTTACTAGGAAGGGAGATGAAATATCCCCACAGGTCCATGTGAGGGGTCATACAGATTCAGCACAAATCTGTCAAAGGAGAAAGTTTTAAATGAATTGCAGGGTTCCCCATGGTGCGGGCATGAGCCTGCCCAGCTGTGGAACTTTCCCAGCAGAATCCAGGGCCGGTGCAGGTCCTGGAGGCCAGACCCAGGGGCCGGGGGTTGGTCACTCCTGGGATCCAGGCCCCTGGGACCAGCGACTCCTCTGGGACTGACTGAAGCATGTAGAAAACTGGAAACACAGGAGAAGCAAAAACAGTCCAAAGGAAGAGGGCCAGGGAGGAGGGGCTGGTCCTCAAGATCGCGTTTCCGAACTCTACCCATGACTAACGGTAACGCTCTGACTTGAGGTTTCAAAATCGGAATGGCGTTACTGTTTCCTCATTATCGAAGTAATACACTATTCATGAGAATCCTGAGTCTGTGGGTTTCTAGCCATGGGACGGTGTCTCGGGTGCTTAACTTGTCTGAACCTCACTTCCCATCTTATAGAAAAATAGGGAAAACAGAAATGAAATCTGACAGCACGTGAGAAGACACCCGTGTGGTCGCCGAGCCCCTGAGGACTTCACCTGAGCCTGCTCCTGGCCTCTCTCCCTGCCCAGCCCACCTGTCCGTGTGTCTGGCCAGCTGGCCCGTCACCCCGTCGCCATCCCTGACTCCTCCCTCAGGCAGTTTCCACCCACACCCACCCTCACGATGCTTCAGAATCTCCCCTTCGCTCTCACAGCAGATGTTCCCAGATTTTCTCCGTCCTGGGCGCCCTGACTGTCTCAGTAATAGGTTCATGGTGCCCCGACCAAAAGACACGCCGAATAGTTCTGTTGATTCATGAGTTAGGTCCAAAGAACTCAGTAATAGTAGGTAACGTGGTGGCCGACAGACATCCCTGTGTATCCTGGGAAGTTCTGATGACCCCAAGTGTACCTGCCAATTTGCTGAGGTTCCCCAAGATGCCTGGGCCCCCAGTTCGGGAACACAGTTTTACAGCCTCGGCTGAGCCCCTTTTCTCACCTGTTCATCCCTCATGGGTCTTATCTGTGATGTTAGTCGTCTCAGCACAATTTGGGGGTGTCTTCAACAGAGGGGGAACCGTCCCCATGGTCCCAGCTGTCCACGTTGGGGTGAATTCGCTCTCCCAGCTACTCCAGGGCTGGGTGGACTGGAAGGTGGTCAGAAACGAGGGGACAGTCCAGTCTGGGGGGAGGTGGGAGACTGAGCTCGGGCTGCACGGCTGCGCTGGTGTGTGCGGCCAGGCCGGCGGACGGCTCTGGGCTTCCTGACTTGTCCTCAGGTTGAGCCACAACCCCAGCTCTGCCCTGTGAGCATCTTCCCTCTGGCTGGGACTGAGTTACATCCTTTTGTAATAAACTGTCCTCTGCTAGGACGGAGATCAGCACAGCCTCCATCCTTGCAGGTGATGGAGGACACACAAAGGGACCACGGGTGACTCACAACGATGCTCTCCTGCCCCTTCAGTGCTCCCTCCATCCACCTCCTTTGCCCACTCCTGGGCTGCTGGTCACGCTCTCGTAAGTGGACACAGCCCATTGTCCCTGCACGGAACTAGGTGGGGAGTAGGGACAGGCAGGGTTCCTTTAGAGTGCTTTGGGTCCTGCCCCATGAGAGGGAAGGCAGGAAACCCCCTCTCTGCAGGTGATCTCAGTGACACTCGTGTGGGACGGGCCATCTCTCTCCTGCCCACAGCTGCTCTTATGCCTTCAGCCTCTTATCTTTTTTTTTTTTTTTTTTTTTCGGTACGCGGGCCTCTCACTGCTGTGGCCTCTCCCGTTGCGGAGCACAGGCTCTGGAGGCGCAGGCTCAGCGGCCATGGCTCACGGACCCAGCCGCTCCGCGGCATGTGGGATCTTCCCGGACCTGGGCACAAACCCGCGTTCCCTACGTCGGCAGGTGGACTCTCAACCACTGCGCCACCAGGGAAGCCCAGCCTCTTATCTTTATATCATTAAAGCGAGCTTGGGGCCCCTCACTTGATATGATCCTGCCGCCCCATCCTGCCACACAGAAGCCCTGACACCAATACTCCTCCACGCTACACCTCCCAGCCTCTCTGTGGAACCAATGCCTCTTCAGCTGCAGCCTCTTCCCCCCACCACCCTGGATGCTCCAACTCCCACCCCCTCCCCCCAGAAAAGGCAGAGGACATACAGACTCCCCGAGACTAGCTCTTTCATGCCCCGCTCTAAAGTGCCACAGTCAAACCATAACATGAGAATAATCTTTGTTAAGGCCTTGGGGACAGGAGCCAAGGCGCAAAGCCAAGCCTGAGGCAGCTAGGACTGCCCACAGCTCAGCCTGAGCCTCCACACTCCCAAGGCCAAGGCTGCGTGGGGCAGATGGTCTCTTTCCCTCTTTGACAAAAAGAAGCACTCGATTCACCAGGAGCGCAAACTCCTCCAGCTGGGCCCTCTGCAAAATAATCTCCTGAGTTTTTATATTAAGCAAGTTAATATAATTTTACTATAATTTCCTTATATTAAGGAGATTAAATAAATCCCTGGATATGGTTTTTGTTGCGGGGAGAGGGTGGGCCGCACCACTCATCTCCGTTCCCCGACCAGGGATTGAACCTGGGACACAACAGTGAAAGCACCGAATCCTAACCACTAGACCACCAGGGAACTCTGCTGGATATGTCCTTTAGGGCAATTTTATTAATGAAAAAAAAAAAAGCAGAGATGTTTTGCATGAGATCATATTTTCTCTTGATACTTGCTGGAAGGCTAGGTGTTTTGTAAAACGAAGAATTTCACTGGGGAGTATGGTAGCGTGGGAGACTGTGAGATGCGGAACACGTCAAAGGCTAAACCACAGGGACTCAGAGCAATTCAGAAGAACGGGAAGATACAAAACAGCTGGAAAAAACCCAGATTTATTTTTGGTCCCCAAGCAGAGGGAGGGGCTGTCTGAGAGCCCTTTCCTCTAAAGCTAGCTTACGCCACGGGGCACTCCAAGGGCTAGGCGCCAGCGGTTCCTGGCCAGGTAGTGTGTGCATCGTTCCCACGCAGCCCCAAACATTGGGATCGGCCGACAGGTTGGCTGTGAGGCTGGCCTTCCAACCAATTCACTCGTGAGTTTGTGCAGAGCGATCTCACTGCCCTTCATCCACAAGAGGGAACAGAAGTGCTGGCTCAGGATTTGAGCACAGAGGTAAGGGCTCTCCTTCCACTTGACAGCCTTCGCAGGGCTCCCTGGGGAGCAGGGCCAAACCTGGGGATCCCCCTTCGCTTACAGTCTCCGGGTCAGTGGGGCTGCCCACTCAGAAGAGTGCCGGTAGAAGACCTTCTCTGCCTTCTTCCAGCCCAAACCCAAGTGTCAGGTCCAGCCCTAACAATGCCAGGAAAGGCCAGGGCACAGCCCAGACAGGACAAGGCAGAGAGGCCAGCCCCCTCCCAAGAAAGGAGGTGCCCCTGGGCTGGGCTTTCTGAGCCCCCCAGGAGAAAGTGGTGCTTCTCCCAGTTCCCTGAGCTCATACTGACCTCAGGACATTTGCACTTATGTTTCCCCTGCCAGGAAGGCTCCTCCCAGGTCCTCAATGTTTGCTCCTCTGCTCCTTCATTTCCTGTACACGGACACACCCTCAAACAGACTCCCTACCCCCTGACAGCTGACCCCTGGCTCTATAAGCCACTACCTTTCTTCCAGACACTTCATCGTCACCTGGGGTTATATCATTGTTGGTTGGCTTATTTGTTTGTGGGGTGTCCCTGACAGAATGTATATACTAGAAGCAGGGGCTTTATCTGGCTTGATCACCACTCTACCCCCATGGCAGGAACTACCTGGCACATAGTAGGTCCTTGTATTAGTTTGCTCAGGACACCATAACGAAGTGCCACAGGCTGGGTGACTTAAACAACAGAAATTTGTTTTCTCACAGTCTGGAGGCCAAGAGTCCAAGATCAATGGGTCATTAGGGTTGGTTTCTCCTGAGGCCTCTCTCCTGGGTGTGTAGACGGCCGTCTTCTCCCCGTGTCTTCATGTGCTCTTTCCTCTGTGCACCTCTGGGTCCTAATCCCCTCTTTTCATAAAGACAGTCAGATTGGATTAGGACCCACCCTAGTGGCTTCATTTTACCTCAATCTCCCCTTTAAAGGCCATATCTCCAGTACAGACACACTCAGGTCCTGGGGGATAGGACTCCAACATAGGAACTTGGGGACATGACTCAGCCCATATCAGTCCTCAAAGCATACTTGTTGAATGAATGAATGAATGAATGAACAAATCACCCTCATTTTTAAAAACAGGTCAGTGGCACACACAAAGTCGTGAACGTGCGTATGTGCAGTCTGAGGAAGACAAACTGTTCGGCCCAGCATTCAGAGGTGCTATAAAATATGAAAAGGTAGGTTAGGACCAAATTTTTTAGGAACTCTCTTCTGAAAGAAAACATGACAGAGGTTTTTAGAAAGGGCAGTGACGTGATGAGACCAGGGGTTTAGAAGGAAAAGGGCCACAGTGTGTGCACAGGGGCCGCTGTCGAGTAGAGGGGACGGACGGAGGGCTAGACTGCAGGACCACAGCTGGACACGGGGTACCAGTGGACGCCCCAAAGGCCAGCTACGGGGGAGGGGCCACCTCAAGACTCCAATCCTCCCCACTGCTTAGTGCCCTGGGCCTGGCATAAAAAATTCCCCGAACTCCGACGCATAAAATAAGACATTTTATTCTCTCCTGGCTCTGGAGGCCGGAAGTTCCAGGTCGAGGTGTCGGCAGAATTAGTTCCTCCTGGAAGTGTGAGGGAGCATCCCTTCCAGGCCTCTATCCCAGCTTCTGGGGTTCCTGCCCACCTTGGGGTTCCTTGGCTTGGGGCAGCATCCCTCCAATCTCTGCCTCTGTCGCCCTCTGGCCGTGGGTCTCTGGGTCTCAACTCCTCTCTGCCTGTCTCTTCTTGGATTTCGGGCCCACCCTCATCTCCAAATTCTTATCAGTTACATCTGCAAGCGACCTTTATCCAAATAAGGTCACATCCACGTGTCCAGGTGGACATGCATTTGGTGGGGGGGTGGAGCCATTCCACTCGCAGGAAAGGGTTCATGACCCAGAGCCGCTGGCTGGCCTCTAGGCTCTGACTTAGGCCAGTAACTGGACCTCTGAGCTTCAGCTTCTTGACCTGGAAGAATGAAGATTGGCAGCTAACACGTAGGGTTGTTGTGAAAATGAAATGAGCATCTTAGAGCAGCGCTAGGTGAGGCCGGCACTCAATACCGCCAGCTCTTTCTAGGGTGCTGACTACCTGATTATAGGCCCCATGGAGAAGCAAGAGACCCAATCAACCATTTCTCCCAGGCTCCCCAGCAGCCTGACCTAGTCTGTGTGAGAAACAGTGATGGCAGGGCAGAGATTGGCTTCAAACAGACCCAGGAGGGGCTGCCTGTCATCTCTCTGCACCTTACAGTCTCCTGTCCAGACCTGAACCTCCGGTGACACGGAGCCCATCAGAAGTAACAGTGGGACATTCAAACTCTCCTTTGGAAGCGTGGAGTTCGCTCGTCCCCAGGCCCTGGGGGCCCATGGAGACCCCTCTTGTGCTCTGCGCCTGTGTGTTGCCATCTGCCCCTCTTGCAGACGGGGCCTCTGCTGGGCTCCTGGCCTCCCCTGTGTGCAGAGGGTGGGTTGTACGGGGCTGGGCAAGGCAGAGCTGGAAAAAATGCAGCCCTGGGGAGGTTTGCTGGGGGACCTTTGGGCCACGTTCCCAACTTGTGTCTTTGTAGAACTTGCCAGGAAGATCGGAGGTGCTGAGCAGTGGTGACCGCACCCACCAGCTTCCCAGGAGACAGCTGGTGCCTAAGCCCTACGTGCAGCTCAGTTTCCTCCCAACACTGTCCCAAAGAAGAAATGCATTCCTTCCAGCAGCGGCCACTACTGCCACCGGGCGCAGCACCTGGACAGACGATGTACCCCCCAAACTGGCAGGGGGGAGGAAAGGACCCGGTTTTCCTCGCCAAGGGCTTCAGTCTGCTGAATTTGAACCACCAGCAGCCAGGAGGAAACAGGGACCGGCAGACGTCAAAGGTAAGTCGGGTGCAGGTATGGCCAGGAAGGGCGCATCCCAGCAGCCCGCGGGGGTTGTGGGGGCGGGGAAAGGCGGGAAATAAAACCTGCAAGTCTGGTCCAGCCCCAGGCGCACAACTGGTGTCCCCCTCTCTCCTGGGCACTTCCAATGAGCACCAGGGACAGACACAGTCTCTGGGGGCAGCAATGGCCTTCCTGGACATGAATCTGGGGGCTCCGTTCCCTGTGCCGGGGTCTCCTTCCTGGGAGCTTTGCCTCCAGCTATGACTAACGCTGTCATCACTACCAGCCTGCCTTCCCCACCCCACCCCGGCTCGGCAGCTGCGGGCCCACTCCTCTCCCCCCTCCAGCGGGGAACGCCTGCCCCTTGGCGCCAGATGGCCTGTCTCTGCCTGTCTCCATCTCCATCTCCAGCCCCAGCCAAATTTTCCCCCCCAGCAGCAGAAGCAAATCCTCCACAGGACGAGAGCACAGGGGCCTCCCTGCAGGCACATCCCGATCCACCTCTCACCCCTCCTGTTTCTAATTCGGCCACAAATTCCCGAAGGTGATGGGAGCCCCATCAGAGGCCAAGACTGGGAAGTCTGTGGTGTCTCTTCCAGGGGCTTGAGAACAACCTGTACAACCAGTACGAGGAGAAGGTGCAGCCCTGCAGTGACCTCATCGACTCCCTGCGGGCCCTGGGTGTGGAGCAGGGCCTGGTCCTGCCGGCCATCGCTGTCACTGGGGACCAGAGCTCGGGCAAGAGGTCCGTGCTGGAGGCGCTATCGGGGGTCGCCCTTCCCAGAGGCAGTGGTAAGCTCTGCCAGGCCAGCCTCCTGCAAGCCACAAGGCATCCCGGGGACCAGTGGGCTCAGGAGAGGTCGCTGGGAAGGCCCCCGGGAGGGCAGCTCCCACAAGCCCTGGACAGCTGCGTCTGCAGTGTGTGGTGTGGGCAGGCGGCCGGGGGGCAGGGCCCTGGGTGTTCCTGCTGCCCCTAGTTTCTGAGTCCTCTTTCACCTGTCAGTAGTCATCGCTGGGCCTGTATCAGTCGGTTTCTTTCTAGTCATCTTTCTAACAGTGTAGAAGCATTTCTTCTTTGATCTTGTTAATTTGTGAGTTTCAGGTAACATGTGAAGTCTTTTTGAAGAATTTTCTCAACGCTTTGAAAAGCTATTAGCCAGGATCATGGTGTGATAAGACACAATGTTTCCTTTAAAAACATTTTTTTGTTTGGCCATGCTGTGCAGCATGCAGGATCTAGTTCCCCAACCGGGGATCGAACCCACGCTCCCTGCGTTGGGAGTGCAGAGTCTTAACCACTGGACCGCCAGGAAAGTCCCTGTTTCCTTTAAACATTTTTAAAGTGTGTGTAGAGTTAAAAAGCTGTTGTACATTTCTGATTTAATAAAATAATTATAAAGGAAAAAAACAAGGAAAGAGATGGCATCCTGTAGTGGGTAGAGGTTCCCCTGTCCTGGTTCCCTCCCTCATTCCCATCTCCTGCCAGCACTGTCCATCAGCCAAACCCAACCAGAACCCAGGAGGCCAGGGCTGCCCCCTGGGCACAGAGGAGGGAGTGGGGATGCCGGAGGGCTGCCAGGACCCTGCACAGCCCCCAGTAAGAGTGCCCTGGCCTGTGCCTCCTCCTGACTACAGGCAGCTGGTCCTTTACTCCAGAGTCTCCTGTGAGTTTCCCACCAGCCCCAGTGCCTGACATGTGATGGAGTCAGAGTGGGGACAGGGCTCCTCCCCTCCGCCCTGGGTTCAGCATTTTGGGGAGAGAAACAACAGAGCAGAGAGTCTGGAGGCCAGTGTGGCCATGGCAGTCTTGTGAGGCAGGCAGGTAGCCCTGGGCATACCTGCCTTGTAGGACAGTGCTGTGTGCTGCCTCCACACCAGAACGGGAGAGGCTTGGAGGGGCCGGACAGGGTCAGGCGGATCTCACCGCTTCACATCCTGCCTGTCCGGGCCCTGGGCTTCCACCCGGACCATGCCCCAGGCCTTTCTAGGGCCCGGGGGAAAGTGATGGGGCTTGGAGATTTCTGTACCTAGGCCCTAGAGATTTCAGATGAGGCCTCTGGGGACACTGGGGAGAATAAGAGCAAAGGGCACGTGTGAACTCTTCTTTTTAAGGGAAACAGGATGTTTGGGAAAGTCTCAGGAATCATAACCAGGTGTCCGCTGGTGCTGAAACTGACAAAGCCGGAGTGCAAGTGGACAGGGAGAATCAGCGGCCGGAAGACGGAGCTCCAGGTGCAGGACCCCTCAGGTGGGGAGGGAAATACGTAAAGGTAGGGCCCCGCGGGCGGCTACAGGTCGGCTCCTGCTAACCCCAGCCATGATCGGTCATCGGGGCCTCTCCAGCTCCACAGCAAGCACCCGTCTCTTCCTTCCAGGCTTTTCCACGTGCCAGTGCCCCTGCCTCAAATGCCGTCCCTCACATGCTGTCCCTCCTCCTTGCCTGCCTAATTCCTACTCTTCCTTTGGGTCAGTTTACCTGCCCCTCCTCTGGGAAGTGTCCCCTACAGGACCCCCGGCCCCAGCTACCCTGGTCACTGCTGGGTATGTGTGTCCCAAGGAGCTGCTCTAACATAACGTGGCTGGTTGCCTGTGGCCACGTCCCTGTCCCCATCCAATGCAGCTTCCCCCAGCGCTGACCCCACCCACCCATCATTTCTGGAAGCATAGCCAACAGTTGAGATTAGCCTTAGGTAAGCACAGAATGATCAAAAGGCTCAGTTGCTCCTGGAACCCACTTCTGTACCTGCTCAGAGGGGACCCTGGAGGTCACCCCCTCACAACCCTGCCCCCCAGGTCCCTGAGCATGCCCACCCCTCCCCCGGGCTTCTCCCCCTTCCTGCTCTCAAGCTGGGCTCAGCCGGGCAGGCGAAAATCAACCCTGATCATAACAGGAAACTCTGCAGCCACAGCTTCCGTTCCAGGGAGATGGGCTTCTTCCTTACCAAGCAATAAACTTAGCATCTGAGGCTGGGGTTCTTACATGACTCCGTGGGCTCAGCACCCCGAGAATCCTGTTGTCTCAGCTGGCTCACCAGAGGGATCCCTCCCCAAATAGAGAAGTACTGCCCCAATTCTAGCATCCACCCCTTGGAACAGAAGCTTCTTGAGACCCTCGATTGGCAAGTTTCCTAGCTTCAGATAATAAAAGGTCTGCACCCTCTGTGCCGGCCATGCCTGTCCTGGGCTGCCTCGTGCCCGGCACATCCTGCAGCCCTGTCCAGATCTGCCCAGACTCTCTCTAGCCATGAGCTCTGTGGGCAAGACTAGGAGGGCACCATGGGTGCCAGCTTGGGTGAACGTTCTGTGTAAGGAGGTATAATGAGCCTCTTTAGTATAGTGTCTTGGAACGCTGGTCCACTGCTGATGGGAGGGCAAGTTGCTGTAACCACTTTGGAAAACTGGCACAATATCGACTAAGGCTGGAGGGGTGCCCACCCCATGATGCCCCCAAACTCCAGTCCTGAGTATACCCCCAGCCAAAAGGTGCACCAAAAGTCAGGTTCCAGAATTTTCATAGCAGCACCCTTGTGATCGCCCCCCACCCCCCATTGGAAACCACCCAATGTCCATCAACAGTAGACTGCATCGAGGCACAGGGTGGAATAACACATGGTAATGAAAAGGAAGAGCCCTCAGCTATAAACACCAATACGGGGTCCAGCCTGTGAAACGTGAAACTCACCAAGGCACGTGCTTAAGACAGTGGGTACTTTCCGGTACCTATGGTACACTTCAGTACAAAGTTACAAACTCATATCTTAGGTCGTGACCCTGAATGATAATTAAGGCAGGAAAAGTTTACAGAGGAACAGCCTGGCTGTCATCCCCCCGACCCCAACTTCTATCTCTAGAGAATTAGGCAATTAATCAGGGCTGTGCCCTAAGTTCCCTGCCTATTTCTCACATCAGGGCTGTCCCCAAATATAGGTGAAATATGTAGCTGCCCACAGGTTTCACTGCTTCTGCCAAGTTGGGTTGTTCATTTGGACTCTCGGTTTTTCTTCTCTTGGTCTCTGTAGCCCAGGATGCCGTAGCTGGGAATGGAGTTGGCATTAGCCACGAGCTCATTAGTCTGGAGATCGCCTCCCCTGAGGTTCCAGATCTGACCCTCCTTGATCTTCCCGGCATCCCCAGGGTGGCCGTGGGAAACCAGCCCCATGATGTCGGACTGCAAATGAGCCTTTCTGGAACTTGGGAATGGGTCCCACGCTAAGTTGGGGAGACTTCTGAGGTCTCTGCCGGCAGCCCCAAGGGCTCTGGTGCACCTTCGCAGCCCTCACTCTGAGTAGTTGGGGAGGAGGCTGGGGTAGGACCATCTAGGGCTGGGGCCTCATACTCAGATTCTGACAAGGGCCTGGTAGGTCATGGAAACAGGAGAAGTTGACTCAGTGGCACTGGAGGCGTATAGGTATTGACGCCCTGCCCAATGTTGCCCTGTGAGAATGTTGGCCCAGCGTCACCACTATCCCGATATTTAAAAGAAGCCAGAAATTGGATTTTTACATGGGATCTGCCAATTTTAGCAACAGTTTTTTAAACTAACGCTACGTAAGTCAATCGGAACGCAGACTGTTATCTCTGATCAGGGGCAGAAAGGCCAGCACAACGCACAGGAATGAGAACTGCAGACCAGCAGTGACCCAGTACAAACCGACAGCCACTGAGCCCTGGGCTTCTTTGCCAAAGACCTTCCCCCCCTAAGGTTGCCTGAGGACACAGTCGTCACTGGGATGCCAGAGTCACACATGATCTTTGGGCTGGGTTCACCCCAAGAGCAGCCTTGTGAAGCCTTTGCCAGGCCAGCTCACACAGAGGCCAAGGAGACGAGGATGGTCTCAGGAGCGGGGTTGGGGTCCAGGGTGTAAAGGGACAAGGTGGAGTATGGGGAGAAGGCGATACCCTCCTGCCCCAGGACTGGGGTCATTTAACTGCCCTCCTCCCTTTTACGGGAGGCACTTCCAGTGTTGGGAACTCAACCATAGCCCAACTAGGATTGTGTCGGTCCTTTCTGGATGGGGTCTCTGCTAGCTCCACTGTCTTGGGCAGTTAAATTACTCTTTCTTCCTATATCCAAATCACCATTCTCTGTCTCTGTAGGAGCAGTGTGGTTAGGTCATTTCCTTTACTGCGTTAAGGGACTAATTCCACACTTCTTACCCCACTTCATTCAGCAAACGGGTGGGACTTCCTAGGGTATGAGAAAGATGCTTGCCTGGGGTCAGAGCATGCTGCTTCTTCCTGCCATAGTCTCAGGAGTGTCACAGGGAAGATCTGTCGATGAAGGAGGGGTCTCATCTAGTCATAGGAATCAGGGAGTCTTTGAGAAAGAAGAAATATCAGTGATGAGCTTTGGAGGATAAGTAGGACATCAACAGAGAGCTCAATAAGGGCAAGTGGGTGGACATTCCAGAGGAAGGGGACAGGCTAAGCCAAAGCCCAGAAGTGTAAAAATTGGATCATGCTCTGGGATGTCTAGCCGTGCTCTTGGGTGACCAGAGACGTGTTCTTCCTTTGTGATTCCTTGGCATCAGATCAAGGCACTTGTCAAAAAGTACATCCAGAGGCAGCAGACAATCAACTTAGTGGTGGTCCCCTGCAACGTGGACATCGCCACCACGGAGGCACTGAGCATGGCTCAGGAGGTGGACCCCGATGGAGACAGGACCATAGGTAAGAAGAAAGAACCAAGCTTCTAGAGGACAGGAAGCCAGGGGGAGACCCCTCATATATTTAGAAGGTCCTGGAATGTAGCTCGGTTACAGGCACCCACATCCTGCCTTAGATCCAAGTGCTGTTCCCAGGGAAGCTCCATGGGCTCGGGGTGGAGTCGAGCACAGCAGATGGGTCACCCTCACTGACAGTCAGGGTTAGATGTGTGGCCAACATTTGGAGGTTCTTTGCCCTCCTTCCTATCGTCCCTTATTTGCATTCTTGAACCATTCTGGATGGGGGAGGAGAAATGCCTTATTTGTTCTCCCACAGTGGTCCAGAAAGGAGAAAGTGACCCATCAGCTCTGCAGTTCCACAGGTAAAGTTCTTGTGAGTCCTTGGTGCATGGAAAAGACTTTCCCAGGGCCTGTGTGAACATACTCAGGGAACATTCTTCCAGGCTTACATTGAAGCACAGGTGTCTGCAGAATTTATATTCAAGCAGAATGCTTCCTGGGGTAGATGGGTTCCCTTCAATTTCTTTTTTTTTAAAAAGTCACTCTGGAAGGCACTATAGGGGACTTGGTTTAAGAGCACAGACTTCCTGGGTTTGAATCCTTGTTCTACCACTTACTGGCTACATATCCTTGGGCAAATAATAGCTGCTATTTAAAAATTTTTAATATTATTATTCAACATCACTTCTCTCCAATCACTTCACCTACCCATTGAGTTTGCCTTCCTGAAAATTTGCAAGTCATTTTCCTCCACTAAATGGATACTCAGTATATCGTTGCCTTTTCCACTTTTTCCTCAACAAATGCCTAGTTTTCCAGTTAGGATAAAAATAACGCTAGGGGAATACAGCTCACGTGTAATGTGTTATTATATGCCAGACTACACTTGTGCCCTGTTAGCTGCTGACTTCTACAGGTGTCTAGAGCACATTGAACCAGAGAGAAAACTCAGGTTTTGGGTCATGAGTCATTGTGCAGTTAGAAGTCGTTAGGGATGCCTTATTGACGACCACAGAAGACAACATCACCTGTTCAGTAGATCTATTTGGATATCAGTGTCTCCATAGCAATTGAATAACACCCGTAATAGTTTTCTGTTCTTCTCATTAGCCACACACTCTAATAACCAAAAGTTCTTGCTCAATATTAGCTATTATTGTTATAAATTCAGCTAAGTGCTATAACCATAGAGTATACACAATCTGACCTCAGTATATTCCGAACAGCATTATAACATCAATGCAAACTTTCCATGCATTCTAGGGTCAAGTACAGAAATAGAGAACAGTGTGCTAGGTTTAAAAAGGAAATGCAATATACACTCATGTGCACAGCAGCCTTATTCACAGCAGCCCAAATGTGGAAGCAAACCAAGCATCCATCAAGAACACAGTCACTTGGAAATCAAAGCTTCTGGTCCAATGTGAGCAGGAAGGAGTGAGGGCAGGAACATGAGAGAGGAAGGAGGGAGGACATCGAAGGAGGTACCCACCAGAAGAGGCAGAGTGAGTCTGCGACAGGAGACATTAGAGAGAGGGCACAGGCCCTCCTTACAGTAGGGGATGACGTGTTTTTGGAAGCATGGTGATGGAGTGGGTCGGTTCTGATGATGTATGCTGTCTAAGTGTCTGGCACCCAGCAACCACCCAAGAGACATTTGTTACATGAATTACACAAGGCAGTTCATGAGCTGAGTGAACGGGTGAGTGAAGAAAAGTACAAGTAAGAGGAGTGACGATGGGATGAATGAATGAACGGGCTGTCAGGCGCTGGGCCACCAAGGCTGCAAGAGGCTTTGCTGATCATGGCCAATAAAAGATCCCGTAGCCTAGCAGCATTCAGTATATTTGACTAGAGGACCAAACTCTCCAGTGCCCTTCTCTAATCACCTCACAGGAATCCTGACCAAACCAGATCTAGTGGACAAGGGCGCTGAGAAAGGTGTCCTGAAAGTCATGCAGGACCTCACATACCATCTCAAGAGAGGTTATATGATAGTGAAGTGCCGGGGTCAGCAGGAGGTCACGAACAAGCTGAGCTTGGCCGAAGCAACCAAGGAGGAAATGATGTTCTTTCAAACACATCCGCACTTCAGGTAAGACTCTTTAGGACAACCTTGGACTCTGTGGAAAGCAGCCCCGCCTACCGGAATTGGCATAGATGACTACCAAATTATATATAAAAATTATACAATGAGCATAACCTACCCTCGTCTTTATTTCGGTGTTAAAATTATTGGCTTACTTAAAGAAACCATGTTTTCTTGGACTCTGACGAAAAATTGTAATAGGGTATTTCATAAGGCAGAGCACACTTTGGTTTCTCAAAATGTCTTCACTTTCTTTCTCATTTGAGTCCCACAAAATCTTGCAAAACACTGGGATTTTTCCCGTTGAATCGGGTACTTTTTTCCTTTCACTTTATTTAGGAACTTGCTGTTCCTGAACAGCAAGTTCAGGGGGAGAAGGGTAATAAGATATAGAGGTCACTCCTGCTTTAAGGAGAGACGGTGGGAAAATGGTGAATTTTTGCAAACCAGGTTTGCTACTTGCTCTGTGCCCTTGGGAGATGACTCAGCCTCGCTGAGTTTTTGCTTTCTCATCCTGCTAATGCTTCACAGTATTGCGGTTAGGATTAAATAATATGGCACACGCACATGTTCTGGCCAGGACTCTATACATACCACCCTGGTTCCTTGTTCCTCTCTGCTCCTGCCCTGAATGGAAGAAACAGATCGTTTTCAGTAGTGTTAGGGGTCACAGGGAGAGAAAACTCTGCTCACCAAACAGAGAGAAGATTCTGTAATAATCACACCCATGGTTCTCAACCCTGAGGGAGCAGCGGAATCTGCGAGAGAGTTTGTTAAAATCCAGCTGGCTGTGCCCTGTCCCAGAGTTTCTGAGGTCTGGGGTGTGGTCCCCAAATTTATGTTTCTAACAAGTTCCCAGTTGAGGTCTACGTTGCTGACCCAGGGACCACACTTTGAAAACCACTGTTCAAGGTGTCTGGGGAAGTTAAGTCTTGGATAAAAAAGTGTGCTGAAGTGCTTTGTTGCTGAACATCTGAGATTTAATCCTTGTGTGCCCACATGCTGGGACTCGGCCCTTGCAGGAAAGGCACTCACAGTAGCACTGGAAAAATGATCCTACTGGGTCCTTCGTGAATTTATGTTAACAGCAAACACTTAGCAACCAGACCACCTGGTATGTGACCCTGGGCGAGCTACTTAACCTTCTGGTGCATTTGCCTTTCTTTAAAGTTGGTTGTTCAATGATTAAATATTTGTAAAGCCCTTAGAATCATGTAGGCGCTTAGTAAGCACCGTGTAAACATTTTTTTAAATTTAATTTTATTGTGGAAAGAACATTTATCATGAGGTCCACCCTCCTAACAAAAGTCTAAGTGAACAATGCAGTATTGTTAACTATTGCCACAATATTTTTCAGCAGAGCTCTGGAACTTACTTATCTTTCATAACAGAAACTTTTTGCCCTTTGGTTAGCAAGTCCTCATTTCTTCCTCCCCCCAACACCTGGCAACCACCATGCCCACTCTCTGATTGCATGAGTTTTAGATAGCTCACGTGAATGGAATTATGTAGTGTTTGTCTTTCTGTGACAGGCTTATTTCACTTAGCATAATGTTCTCAAGGTTCACTCATGTTATCACATATTGCAAACTTTCCTTCTTTTTAAAGGCTGAATTATATTCTATTGCATATATCTACCACAGTTTTTATCCATTTACCTTTCCATGAACATTTACGTGTTTCCACATCTTGGCTATTGTGAATGGTGCTACAATGGACACAGGAGTGCTAATATCTCTTTGAGATCTTGATTTCAATTCTTTTGAATAAATGCCCAGAAGTGAGATTGCTGGATCATATGGTAGTCCCATTTTTAATTTTTAAAGGTACTTTCTTACTGCTTTCCTTAGTGGCTGCACCATTTTGAATTCCCATCAACAGTATACAAGGGCTCCAATTTCTCCACATCTTTGCCAACACTTGTCTTTTGTTTTTTTGATAATACCATCCTAAAAGATGTGAAGTGGCTAATTGAGAAAAACATCCTTTTTGCAAAAACACTTTGCATTTTGATAATTTTTTCATAACATAGTTCTCAACATTTAAATATTTCATTTACAATTTTGAATTTACGTTGTGTACTATTTTAAATTAATTTTAAAAATTTATATCAAGACTCAATTATGATAATTTGAAATATCAGGGAAAAAATTAATACATTTCTGCCTAGAGATACAAATACAAACTGGAGAGAGAGAGAGAGAGAGAGAGAGAGAGACAGAGAGAGAGGCTGAGACCTTATCAATGTCTTTGTACCCTAATCCACAAACTGCATCTAAATCTCAATGAGCTCATCCTGCCTGGCTGGCTGCACCAGCGTCATTCACACAGGTGTCTTTACCTGTAGTGTCTACCTGCTCGGGCTGTAAAGGTGGTGAACGGGATGCAAAGTGGAACTCTACTGCTTACCAGCTCAGCAATGATATCAAGCAGTTTGGCTCTCTGAGCCTAAGGTTCCTCTCTTGTGAAAAAGAGGCAATGAAGACACATGCTTTGTACCGCAGTGCAGGGCTTCACTGCGATGTGAAGGGCTTGGAATGATGCTTGGCCCAAAGATAACCCTCCTTGGTGCCCCTCTGCATCCTTCCTGCTCTTCCTCTTTGTTAAATTGTTGTTAGCAACGTTGACCGCTTAGGACTGTACCCAGCCTGACGGTGACACACAGACATAGCCTCTACCAAAGCACCGTTCATCAGTTTGTAATGCTCAAATGACCACCAACATAACATTCTGCTAAAGAAGTCTTCCATTATATTCAAGCATCAGCTACAAACTGGCACTTGCCATCTGCCTCTGCAAGGATTAAATCATGAGCTGTTGTAGTTGCTGACCTTCAACACCCCCTGAAAGGAGTTCAGGGTGGAGATCAGGAATGAGGCACTCTGTGCTCTGGGAAAAACTGGCAGAACAGGTCTTCAGATGGTTAGATATTCTCAGAAGATTTTATGAGCCCAATTCTTGTATCTCTTCATATCTAGAAAAGCACTAAAATCCTTCATGGTGACGTCTGCTCCTCATGACTAGCAGTAAACTTCACGAGATGAGCAGAACCTTCTGCAAAACATATGTTCTTGATTGCATGGACTCCCCCTTCACCAAAACCACATATGTACTGACCAACCCCCCTAACTCTCTGGGGCAGTTTCTCAGAGCTGTCTGAGATGCTGTCTCCCGGGCTATAGTCCTCATTTTGCCCCAAATAAAACTTAACTCACATTGTTCATGTTGTGCATTTTTTAAAGTCAGCACAAGGATACTTCTTCTCTCAATGAAAAGCACTGAGCCAAACACAGCAAAAAAACAGAAACAAAAACTGGCCCCCATCTGATTCCTCCCCGCTCTGGTCACTTGACAGAGCTGCAAAGTTCTTGACACCAGATGGTTGAAGCTGTAGTGCATAGCATTGCATCCAAGGCCCTTCTTGAGCTCTTAACAGGGGTCCATCTCAACAGGCTTCACACAATAATAGAAATTCCGGATCCCCTTAAATGCTCTCAAATGAGACTCTGCCCATACACCTAAAAAATTTGTCAGCTAATTTCATCAAGCTGCAGCCTTTCATTGTTTGCTCTTCTGTTGTTCAGAAATTGCTCCCTTTGTTAGAGAATCAAATAAAGGAGAGTCACCAGAGGGCGACAGAGGAGCTGCGCCAGTGTGGAGATAACCCCCCCAGCAAAGAAGCCTATAAAATGTTCTTTCTGATTGAGGTGAAGATTACCGGGGACCCCATGTGACCCTCAGGCACAGAAACTGGCTTCTCCTTAGATGGTCGCATCTTTCCTGGTGGCCCTGCACATCTTGCGGTGGCCCTCCCTATATGCGAGCTTCCCCGCCTGTGGCTTGCGGGAGCCCTGCCCTGCCCTCCCTGGGTCTCACCTGGGGGATGAAGTGGCTGGTGGGTCATTGGACCCCTTTGAAACCCCAGGTCCCACACCACACTCAGCTGCCCCAGATCCCATCTCTGTAATATGATTACAGCCCAGAATGATGCTTTTATCTCATTTTTCAGAAAATTAAGGTGTTTAATCGGGACATTGAAAAGTTAATAGAAGGAGAAGAAATTGTAAAGGAGAAAGAGTCCCGCTTATATAACAAAATCAGAGAGGAGTTTAAAAACTGGATACTCATACTTGCAGCCAATACCCAAAAAGGTGAGTCTGGGGACAGGGCTCCTGCAAAAGCAGCATCATGTTTACCAAGACCAGAAGCTACTTCCGGCACATGAAAAGTGTGTGAAGAGCTGACTGTGCCCACACGAGGGACCCCTTAGTATCTGTAACAGCTTCCCACCCATCAGTGTGGTGCGCTGACCTCACCAATTCAACAGAAGACGATTCCACCACCTACTTCCAGCTTTCTACTGCTCCTTTGTTCCGAGGCGAGGCAATTTCACTTACCCCATCTCTTCCCTCCTCTTCACCCCTAATCCAAGACCGGAGAGGTCAATGCTTTGACAAGAAACTCCTTGCTTCCCCTGGCAGAATTCCAACTTCCATTCTGCTACAGCCCAAATGCCAATAGGGTGTGTGCTCATGGTGCGTGCGTGTGTGTGTGTGTGTGTGTGTGTGTGCGCGCATCTTTGTTTTGGCACTTGATAAAAACAGCACTATTCCTTCCATGGTAGGAGTCCTCCAGCTGTAGTCTGGATGTATTCTTGGGAGAGCTGTAAGTGCCATAAGAATTTTTGAGTTTCTATTTTCATTTAATTAATCAGAGTTTTTTCCTACCAGTTATAAACATTCAACTTCTTTCTTGGGTTGATGACTCTCAACTGAAACACCTTTGAATACAATAAAATTTTTGGTTCTTAAAAGTCAGTATTTCTCCAACTGGCATTATCAGACCATGAATATTTTTTGGTGGATTTTCCAACCTTAATCAGACAGTCCAGATAAGTGCCCACAGTTTACTTGTTGGTAGCCTGTACTACTGGCTGATTTATCTGGGTTTAACCTTTGAAAGAAGCTGGATATTTACCATCATTTGGAAACATAAGGCCAGGGTTATAAAGGCACGGTTGCTGGGCTGGTGACTCCAGGAGCATCTGTCATTTTGCTTCTGCTCCGGAGTGTCTGCAACTGCCTGGGAGAAATGAAACAGAGCACGTGCCCTGGTTATCCTTTCTGCAGGATCTTCTGCAGCCTGGCAGGACATAGGTTGGATGGCGATGACCATACCTAGTGATGGGCTGGTATTGTTGAATATTATTCTTGCAGAAAGGACTAGTTTTACTCCAAAATCTTTATACGTTTGACTTAAAATATTGCCACAGCTGTGTGGGTTTTCACTTAGCAAGTTAGTTATTGAACCCTTCCCTCAGGGAAGGGAAGAGAGGGGCATTTGCCTCCCACCTGGGCTTAGATAAAAATCATCTTCCACCCAGGCCTAGACGGATGCGTCAGAAGCTCATTCCACGGGCTCAGGAGAACAAGAAAAAACATTTGCCATTTTTTCTGTAACAAAAGAGTTTCTCCTTTCACCTCTTTGGCCAGCTGGTGGAAAACAAATCACACGTCTCCAGCTATCCCAGGGGCTGTGTCTGAGTCCCGGGCTAGGTGATGTGCCTGGTCCTTCATCACCATTCCTCCAGGCTGGCAGCTTGCAAGATGTATGCATCCTTCCTGGGCCTTCGTGGTTGGTCCCCTGGACGCTCCATGCTCCCGACTACAGGGCTGGCCCTCGTGGGCGCTTCCCCAGCCCTGCCAGGGCTCAGAGCGCTCTGCTGCAAACACAGGCCGCTCTGTGGCCGAGAAAGTCCAAGGGCCTCTGCCCCCTGTGCCGTCCTGGGATGAATAAGGTCTGGGCACGGCTACACGACACCCACCCAGACGCACTCCCCCTGGGTCTGTACCCTGCTCTCCTGAGTCACATCAGAACCAAGGGTCTTGTGTCCTCCCGTGAAACTCCTCTTGGGAAGTGATGCATAGCCCGCTTCAAGTCTCAGGCCCCAAATCTGCAAGGTGGGGTGGGGTGTTGTCACATACGTGGTTTTGGCCACATACACGCCTAAAAAAAGAAGGAAAACCTGCCCTTGTGAAGCTCACAGTTTCTCTCTTCTCTCAAATTACTGTTTCTGCCTTCAATGCACAAAAGTCCATTTGAAACTCAAAAGCCAAGAAGTGAACCCATTCCACTATGTCCTCTCTCCCTTTCCCGGGATGCCTTTGACCGTGTAGGTGACATGGGAGTCGCAGGATTTCTGGGAAACACGGATATGGAGCTGTTATCCCACTGTGTTCATTAGCCCTGGAGACATTCTTGAACGCTTGGATTCAAGCCAACTACAGAGACAAGAATGGTGGGCATGAAAATGTAGAATAAACCATAATTGAGGAACCAGAAAGACGGGGATGTGGGAGGCGATGGAGTTCGGGGCAGAGAAAAGGAACAGGCGTGTGCTCCCTTTGGCAGCAAGTATACTAAACAAACTAACACACAGACCAGCAGCAGAGAAGGTGAGCCTGGCACAGGCAAGGAGCAGAATCACAAGCTAGGACAGGTGAGGACAGCAGTAGAGGGTGAAGGGGGACCTCCTGAAAATCGCCATTTAAGTCTCAGGCCTTCTTTGAGCTCGGATTATTTTTAACTCCGTGTTCAACATAATAGTACTTCCTAGGCTGTTTAAACAACATGGCGGGGTGCGGGGGGTGCGGGGGGAGAAAAAGAGAAGTAATGTGTTTCTCTTTCTTATTCAACCAGAACAAGATTGAAGACATAAAAGCAAAACAAGCGGAAACAGCAGAAAATCTGATCCGGCTTCAGTTCAGGATGGAGCAACTGATTTATTGTCAAGATCAGATTTACAGCGTGGTTCTGAACAGAGTCTGAGAAGAGATTTTTAACCCAGTGGGAACGCCTCCACAGAATCTTCAGTCGAAATCGCCCCTTTTAAATGATCCGCCTTCATTTTCCTCCATTGTTGAGATTTGGGTCCACCTGAATGCGTATTTCTCGGTGAGCATGTAGGGGTACAGGGACAGTGCGCTGTGGTCCCTGCCGAGCAGAGAGCGGGGTAACCTCGTTGACAGCTGCTTAGCTGAGCAAAGAGGGGAGAGGCCACACTGCTGTGTACCAAGCCCTTTGGCTGTGAAAAACTACTCATATATTATCTCATTATAGTTTTATAGTAACCTTACCAAAGCACTTTTAATTTGCCCCCAGATCAGGTTTCTCATGTAGCAGAGAATGTACTCAAAATTAATTCCATCTCCAAAGTTCTTTGTATTTTGTGCTATGCATAAATTACAAAATTACTATTATCAGAATACAGCAAAGCACTAACTTGACTGGTTATAATTTAGCTTCCCTTCATAGTTCAGAAGGCTCTCAGCTCTTGAAGTGCCTCAAACTTGCGAGTTCCACAAAGTGG